ATGACACCTGGTCCCCTCCAGTGCTGTCCTACAGACCTGCCTCCTGAAGCCACCTTCTCCTGTGGCCCGCCCCACCCCCTTTTTAAGTTTTAAAAGTTCTTTATTTTTCTTTATTTACATTTATTTTTAATCGGCACATAATTGTACCTATTTATTGGGGTGCAGTGTGCTGTTTGGACACGTGTGCAGTGTGGAAAGACCAGATGAGGGTAACTGCCATATCCGTCACCTCCACGTTTCTCATTTCCTGTGGTAAGAAAATTCAAAATCCTGTCTTCTGGGTATTTTTAAATCTGCCGCAAATTATTGTTAACTGGCGTCGCCCCACGCTGCTGTGCAACACCAGCCTCACATCTCACTGTGGCTTTGTTCCTGATCACTCGTCTTTCTCTCTCCCCCTTCCCCGCCCCTTCCCTGGTAGCTACTATTCTTTGTATTTCTATGAGGTCAGCTTATTTAGCTTCCACAAATGCTTGTGAACATGCAGTATTTAGCTTGTTTAAGGAAAGGAAATCAGCACGTCGAGCAGATGCCAGCACTCCCGTGTTTACTGTGGCACTGGCCACAGCTGGGGAATCAACCTAGGCGTCCATCAACAGGTGAATGAGTAAGGAAAAGGTATATGTACATATCAGGACACGACTCGACCATAAGAAGAAGGGACTCCTGTCATTGGTGGCAATAGGCATGAACCCGGAGGACGTTGTATTTAGTGAAATATGACTTGCTCCTCTTTTGAAGCCTGTAGGGCCAAGAAAAAGCTATTTTTCATCCATCCTGGGGCCCTTCCCTTTGTTTCCAGTTAGAAATTCACCCTGAGCTTCACGTTTACCTCCCATGGGGAGGAACTCTTCAGATTGCAAGACTGAAGGAAGAGCCTCCTAGGCCTCTCTCCCCTCTGCAGAGCGGTTGATGGGAAGATTGGTGTGACATGGGCGCTCCTCCCAGCTCCTATCACCAAGCGTGCACTGGTCTGCCATCCCTGCCTTCTGTCCCACAGAGCAGATCTGACACATAACGGAGCCAAATATTTTGCCCTTGGGATGGAGCTAGAGGAAATACCACACTTTCCACTTGGACCACAGCAGGTTTTCTGATGGAGCAGTTTCCTGGATAATAGAGTCCTGCTAGTATTTTCTAAAGGTATATTGTAATACACTAACACCGAAACATGATGAATAACTTCCTTTTGTATTCAAGATGTCTCTTATTATGTGATCCCTTGGGATCATTTGATCGTTGTTGAATAGCTGGGCAGAGGGTCTGGGTGGCCCACTGTGCTGAAGAGACTCAGGTAATAACTTCAGGCACTAAGGATGCCCCACGGTGGACAGCCTAGGGGCAGCTCGTGGTAGCCACAGCATTCTTCATCTGAATTTCTTACAAAAGGGAAAAATTTCTAAAAGCTACTTAAAAACATTTGTAGTCGTGGAGGTGGAGATAAAGCAAGCAAAGGAGGCAGGTCGGTGCTTCTTTCACGGGCAGGTCTCGCCCACTGATTGCCCTTTCCCATAAACTAGCCTCAGGCAGTCAGACAGGTGATGGGAAACCTTAGACTCCTGGACACAGTGTGATTGGGTAAGTGCCCTGGTTACCCGGGCTTGTTCTCTCCACTTTTTCCTAGGGGTTGGGGTTGGTAACTTTGGGAAGCCGAGTGGGAAGGTAGTGGCTTTGAACTGATTTTATTTTTCTCATTTTTGCCTAATAATCATGTTTTTATACATCCTCCCCTGGTTTATGGCCTTTCCTGGATTTTAAAAATGGGTGCTTTTCTTGTTGTTGCTGCCTTATCTCTTCTTTTGAGTTTCCCATTCATACCATTCTTCTGATCATTGTTCTGGTTCTCTGGACTTTTTGCCGCCCCAGAATGACCCAGCTGACTTTTATTATTCTTGGCAATTACTTGCGTTTACCTATTCTCTTTAAGATGTTTTTCTCCTCCCTATTTGTTTTGAACCAAATTTTTCCTTGTGACTTAGTGTGCCTTCTGTTCTTCCCAGGCAAAGAGGTTAAATTTCACTCAAAACACACTGTAGTCTCTCTTCAGACTTAAACAGCGCTGCTGCTATATAATCAATTTTCACAGAATTACAGTTTGGGCTGACACTCTGTGTGTGTGTGTGTGTGTGTGTGTGTGTGTTTTAAAGTTACTGTTTGAGTAGAAGCCAGGCTTCTATCATGTCTTAATTATCTTTGGGAAAGAGGAAGCATGCTCATGAACCTCTCATATTATTAATTAATTAATTAATTCATTCATTTATTTGGTACCAGAGATTGAACCCTGGGGCTTTTAGCCACCAAGCCACATCTCCAACCCTTTTTAAATATTTTACTGGAGACAGGGTCTCGCTGAGTTGCTTAGGGTCTTACTAAGTTCCTAAGGCCATCCTCCTGCCTCAACCTCCCAAACTGCTGGGATTACAGGCGTGAGCCACCACGTCCAGCTCTCATATTATTTTATTATGAAATTATTTTTTCCTTAATAATGCAGTACTAGTTGGAGAAGACACATCGGCCTTGATTGGATTCTTTGATGACTTTGGATGCTCTAGATGTCACCCGAGAAATCTGGTAGGAAGAGAGGCGCTGGGTGGCTTTAATCACAGCTTCTAGAGGTATGGCCTCACGGGGGCAACGGTTTGAGACCCTGCTATAACAACATTTCCCTGAGTGGTTCATTTACATCAAATTTAAGTGGCCGTTTATGGACTGGGATCAGATTTCTAGCAAGTGTATCAGACTCAGACTCCAGAAATGCTTTATTGCAAACTTCTAGTCAAGAGAAAGATCACTTTCCACCAGAAACATCGTCCAGTGACTGAGGTAGCCACTTTTATTCTGCCTTGACAAATTTGAATAACATTATTTCATGAAACATGAGGGTATGTGGAAATAGTATTTTGAAAATTAAATTCTGCTAATAGCAGATAATCTAAATATGATGGTGTAGCTTCATAAATAATAGCAATAGTCCCCTGATGATTTCATTCCATTCCTAAAATTACGTATCTCTGTTTTCCAACCCACCCTCCACCACATTCTAGGGGGCAAGGTCTTCCTATTGGCAAAAGGAATAGGGGTCACTTTATATTTGGGTCACATTGTATTTGGACATTTGTGACACCTTTTAAAGGCAGCCGTGGTTTCGATGTACACTGTGTACTGTTTTCCTTGAAGCTGGTGAAGTAGACAGTCCTTTCCACTTGTGAGTGCATTTAGATGGGAATAATCCATTATAATCCTGAGCCGGGCATTTTTAACAGAGATCTTTCCTCTCATCCACGTATCCAACCCAAGGCAGCCTTCCAATTTCAAATCCTTTGGACACTTTGTAGAGCTTAGCTTTTTTCTCCATTTGACTCCTTAAATCCTCCTCCTGTCTTGAAATCCCACCCTTGATGGCTCCTTCCAGAACAGCCTGGCCAGCTACTGTCCTGCCTCCCTGACTGTGGATGGCCCTGCCCTCCAGGTCACCTGTGGTTCTTGGTCCTTTTCTCTCATTCTTTCTCCTCTTCCTGGGCAACCACAAGTCCTTTCAAAGCTTCAGCTTCTACCCATGTGAAGGTTGGGAATTGGTATTTGGCAGGCCACATCTTGCCTGCGAGGTTGGCTCACATAGTGTTGTTATTGTTTTAAATGTGAGTTTGTTGCCAAGATTTAAAAATTGAAACCAAATCCACAAATCTGGCTTCTCTTTTAAAGTGGGATAAGCTGGCAGTACTGGGACAGGCCTTTGAGCAACTGTCCCTATTAAATGGGACACTGTTTGTCCTGTTTACCACAGACAGCCCTAGTTACTATTCTCTTTGGTTTCTAGACATTGAAGCCTCATATCAGCTGCCATTTTCATTTTATCATGATTATGATACTCAGTTCCATACAACAAAGATAAGAAGAAAAGGAGTCCCCACCACCCCTGTCTCGCTATTCAAATGTAAAAACAAAAGCTGGACCAAGAGTGGACTGTTTCAAAACAATGGGGAAAGAGAATGTGTGCGTACGTGTGTTATGAAAGGGAAAAATATTCTTACATCATTAACATTCAGGGTGTGTCTGAGTTGGTAGGCTATAGTTTAAGGTGCCAGAGTTTATAATTGACATAGATTTTTTTTTTTTGTACCTGGATTGAACCCAGAGGCCCTTACCCACTGAGCCACACCTCAGCCCTTTTCATTTTTTAATTTTGAGACAGGGTCTTGCTAAATTGCTGAGGCTGGCCTTGAACTTGCAATCCTCCTGCCTCAGTTTCCCCAATAGCTGGGATTACAGGTGTGGGCCACAGCTCTGATGAACAATCTTTATTCTGTCTGCAAACTCAGTTGCCTTTGACCATGTCAGGTTTGACATATCCTCAGGCAGAACACCAGGGATTAGAGCGCTGATCTCTCTGGACTCCATTATTCTGCCCCGTGATAATATTGACTTGCTAAATAGATTAATATTAATCTAGTTTCACTTGCCAATTTGTCCTGACACTTAGGCTGTAATCAGGGCGGTTGTCATACTGATAAGTCAGCTTTCTATCATTATTTTTATTATTGTGATGATGATGATGATGATGATGATGATGATGTACCTGCTTCTCCAAATTTATTCCTGCCTCTGGCTAAGGTTGCTCACTGTCACAAACCCACAGCCACGTTTTTATTCCCGACTGCTCAGATAGCCCCTGTCTGGAATGGTGTCTGGAATGGTGCGTTCTGGTTTCTACTCATTCTGGTTGTATTTAGCTTCCAGGTTCTAGTTGAGGCCCTACTTCTGGAAACTTCATGATTTCTTTTATGCTCTTGGCTTCTCTGAAATCCTTTAGCGTTTATAGTCAGTGGCAATGAATTGTGTCATGTTTTATAAATATTTACCTGAGTGAGTGAGTTTTGGCAGAAAGCTTTATGGGTTGGTTGGAAGGGACCCTAAAACAGTTCATTGCCCTTCAGAAGCAAAATGTCTTTCCACTATTTCAAATGCTTATCTGAAATATTGTGTGGTTTTGTTTATTTCAGAGACTTGAAGATAGAAAATTTGCTTCTAGATGAAGACAATAATATCAAGCTGATTGGTTTGGCTTTTTTTTTTTTTTTTTTTTTAAGCAACATTATCTTTTAAGGGTTGTGTTGTGAATTCTCAACTTTGAAAATTATCCATGTTCTATGTGTAATCCCTAGGTAAGAATTCTAGATTACCTTCTTTTATGTTTAAAAATATTTAATAATAGTTTTGAAAATGAAAATTAATTTTATAGTAATTCAACAATTCATTTAAATAATAGTTTAAACATAATTAGTAAGATAAAAATACCGTAATTTGTGTTGTGAAAATGAATTTCATCGTCCCAAATAAGTATTTGTTGGCCATGTGTTTCTTTGGATTATTCAAGGTTCAGCCTCTTCTGAAATTGAGATGGAGCTGAACTTTTATGAATGTTATTTTTATTCAGATTAATAAGCAAGCATCTTGAAAACAGTTGAAAGGGGGCTGGGGTTGTAGCTCAGTGGTAGAGAGCTTGCCTCACACATGTGAGGCACTGGGTTCGATCCTCAGTACCACATAAAAAATAAATAAATAAAATAAAGATATTGTGTCCATCTACAACTAAAAAAAATTTTAAAAAATTGAAATTAGTTTGGCTCAGAAATGTAGCCTGTGACTTTGCCATGTTTCATTCCACTTTTCATTGAATCTAGGGATTTCCAAGATAAGCAGAGGTGAAACTTGCTTCTCTTTTGATATAATCTTTATCCAAGCCTCCAAGCCCCATGATACAGTGGTGGCCGTGCAGATGGATGATTAGAATCTGTACCAATTGCAAGGAGACTCCAGGACAGTGCGGGTCAGCACTGGTTCATAATTCAGGATCCACAAGGGAATTTGCTCTGTTGCTCCTTCTCTAGAAGAGTCAAGGCACTTTTGTCTGTTTGTTCAGGTGGTTTGCCGGTGTGGTTGCTCTTGTTTACTTTTGCACCCAGATGTTAGCACCATCTTTTTTCCTCTGTTTTCTCTTTTCCCACCTCAAGTAATTTCGCCTACCCCAATGGCTTGAAAAAGCTTTATGTTAAGAGGAAAGAGAAGGATCGATAGAACTTTGTGAATTTGGGTATTTTTGTACCTAAGATTTTTGTTAAGAAAATGTTGAAAATCATCTCAAGACTCTCCAAAATATATCACTGAAATGACTTGTTAGATACCTTGGGATCACAGCCAGCTCCAACAGAAGCAGGCAGAGGCTGCAGGGACTCCAGCCCCCTTGGCTGGGTGATTGAGCACCATTGATAGCGGTTGATGGATATACCCATTATTAGGAGATTAACAGTTAAAAGGAAACCAATCCTTTTTCCCCCAAAGCATTTGAAAGCATCTATTCTTAGCAGATTCATAAACCATCCTAAGGATTTTCATTTTGTTAAGTTGTTTTATTATTGCATTTAATTTTCCTGAGGACCAAACAGAAACAGTGAAATAAGACAAGGCCAAATGTCTGCAGGATGTTGTTCTGATCCTGCTCTTGGGGACCCTCAGCCCTAAACAAAGGACCCTCCTGGAGGGAGGTAAGGAATGGAGGAAAGAAGATTTTTAAAAAGGTTTTCTGGAAGGCTGACCTGTATTTTGGAAAATGTGGAGGTGAGAGTACAGAGTTATTGTAACAGCAGAGATTGTGAAGAAAACAGGCTTGGTAAATGCTGGATTCAGATTACAGTAAAAGATTGAGTCACTTCCCCTGGGCACTGCTGGGCATCACGGACACCAGGCTGGTGAACCAAGTGAGGAGCAGTCTACCTGTGGGTAGTTTCCAGATCCCAATTGAACATTGCTTGTTCTGTGTCTTTCCTTCACTTTGCCCCCTCTTTCTTCTCCTCAAATAATAGCCCTAGATGACCATATTAATAAAAAAAAAAAAAAAAAAAAAAAACACCCCGTGGGATAAGCAATGTTGAAAAGCACAGACCTTTTTATTGATTAGAAGGTTGCTCTGATGTTTCTGGAAGAACCAATCAGCGTAAATTGCAAATGCATTTATAAGTAGCTTGCAGATTGGCTGAATAATAAAACCTCTTAGAGGAAACCTGTATAGTAATATGAAGCAATTATGTACCTAAATTAGAGCCAGCAGTTCCCGTTTTAGTGAGTTGCTTTTTGGAGACCAGGAACTACTTTACTCGGATCCTTCAGAGGTATCACCTCTCCGCTGGCAACCCCTGGATGGGAACTTAAGCATGTATTCCAGGTCATTGGAATAAACAAAAATAAAGTGAATATGGTTTTCCAGATCTCATCTGTCTGTTTTTGTAATCTGTTTGATTGGGCAGCAGTCCCAACCCAAAATGGTTGTATTTACAGCTAGAGAAAAATGGAAGTGAGGTATGAGAGCCTGATTGGTTGCAGAGCTCGCAACTGTCTTACCTGAACATGGCTTGAACAGTTGGTGGCGTGTGAGTGGCTCAGACTCAGCTCCTTTGTACAAGAGTAGGTTGCGGTTTGTTTACAGGTCTTTAGGTTACACCTCACTATCTACGGGAAGCCTTTAGGCCAAACTTAGTATATGCTCACAGGAAGCTGTAAGCCAAACTTAATTCAGCTCAACAGGAGGAAATAGGCCCAGTGCTTGGAAGAATGACCAGATGTTAGAAGCCAGGATTCTAGGATGGCTAGAAAGGAGGCTTTGAAAACTGGGTCTCCCTGTTAGAACTCTTCCATTAGCTCCCAGTTCTCCCATGATCAGCTAAAGAGCCCTGATGTAACACCTAAAAATGAAAGAGACGTTGGGGCAGCTGGGAATTGCATTCTGTTTAGCACAATCTGTACTTCCGCCCTCCTGAGGGAAGAAGGCCCAGGGTCTTGTGGATTTTCTTGCCTCTGGGTTGGGCAATGCAGATCAAAGTCTCCCCAGCTGCCTTTTTGTGTCTGAAAGCCCTTTGAACCTCTTTCCTTCAAAGGAATTACCTGCTTGTTTTTCAAAGGTGATTATAGCTATTATCATTTCCTCTTGGTAGTTAGTAAGTTTCTCTTTCTTTGAAAGAATTTGGTTTAAATAAATCTAGTTAAGCCATGTTTCAGATTAACTAGAATTATCAGGAGTAGCATTTGATTTAATCAGGACTTTTCCCCCTTCCAAAAAAAAGCAGCCTGGTGTTTGTGAGTTTAATCTTAAAATGGGGAGCCACAGCTCGGAACAGTTTTGTACATATTTCAAAGCAGCATTCACTCGGGTGCTCTTTTGAGATTCATTTTGCAGTTCTCAGGAAATCGAGTGATAATTGGCTTATGTATTTACCAAATCTAATTGAGGCAGACCTGGGTGACATTACCGGGAGGCTGACTTCTCTTTAGCTTCACGATTCTAATTATAGGCATATGTGTAAAATTTTAATAATTTCAGTTACAAATGTGAAACACGCTGGCTGTTCCTCTGCAATGCATTTTAGTTAAATCAACTTTTAGCCAGACCAACACAAGTCACTTAAAAGGCAGGTTCTGTTCCTTCCCTCTACTCCCCAAACCCTCTGCTAATTTATCTTCTTGAAACTGCTTAAGATAAAGCCAGACTTTTAACTTGCCTGGACAATGCAGGGTGATCTGGTCTCTTATCTGCTCTTTCCCACCCTTTTTTATATCCCCAGATCAGGGGTGTTAAGAAGTGAACTGAATGAAGGAGGCAGCCTTTTGCTCCGGGAACCCTGCTGATTAGAAACCCAGGCTTTTGCTTTAATCTCTGAGATTTAGGGAGAGATTCTCTGAGTCACCTATGATGAGATTGGGCCTTTAATGTAACAGTACATGAAGCTTTCCTTAAAATGTCACCCCCAGTAAGACTACCGTCTTTATTCTGTGGTGGTATTTCTATAGTAGATGCCCTTTGGCAATGAAAGAATCCTCCAGTGCTAAACATGATATGATTTTTCTTCTTAGAAAAATACTCACCCTTCTTGCCTGGCGTGGTGGTGCATGCCTGTAATCCCAGTAACTCTGGAGGCTGAGACAGGAGGATTGCAAGTTTGAGGCTAGCTTCCGCACTAACCCCATCTCAAAATAAAAAATAAAAAGGGCTGGGGATGTAGTTCAGGAATAAGGTGCCCCTAGATTCAATCCCCAGTGCCCAAAACTAAACCAAAACCATAAAAGAACAAAAACAAAACGAAAAACACCCTTCTACTGTTTCAGAGATATTATAGTCTAGGACACCAGGGTCTGAAAACAGGGTCTATCAGGTTCTTTGTAATAGACCGCTCCTCCTAAGATGGGAACCCAGGGACCCTCCGTGCCTCCTGAGGGGCTTTTCTGTCTGTGGTGTCTCCTGGTGTTTGTTGGGGCTGCTGGAAAAGGAAGTGGGGCAGGATGTGGGTGGGGGTGGGAAGACCAAGGGAGCAAAGAAAGGCAGCAGGAGGAGGATAAGACAGAAAACTCAAACTGGAGCCAGATGAAACCAAAGACCTAAGTGTTCAAACACGCAGCCTCCCTGGTTGGCTCCTTGGCCAATTCCTATTGCACGCTCTTCCTCTGAGGGAGCCAGGAGATGATCTTCAGGGCCTTACAGGGTTTTGGAGCCCTGATTGGATGGGGTTCTTTCTACAAAGGCTGGTTCATTGCACAGTGGAGTCCAGTGGCAGCTGGGGGACCTTTAAGTCATGTCATCTTGATTCACAGTGTGGGGGGATCTTGGTGGGCTCCCCTGGGCTGAGTCTCTTTTCCAGAGCCTTCCTACGGCTTTCTTCATCACCGTGCTCTTTGCTGGTGGAGGCACGTTGTGGCATGTAGGGGGAACACAGGCATGAAACTCGGTGCCAGTTGAGAAAGTACCAGGGTTTTGTTCCAGACCCGGAGCCAGTCTCCAGCGGAGCCCGGCAGCCTGCAGTGCTGTGTCTCAGGGGTAGGGCCGAAATATTTAGACTGAAGTTCAAAGGAGGAACCGTGATCTTAATTCTGAGATCAAAACAAAGATTGAGGAAAGATCAGGCGAGGGCAGGACACTAACAGCTCTCTAATTACCTGGCAGTTGTCTGTCTTGAAGATCAAACGTCAACAAGGCTCAGAAGGAGTAATAGACCCAGAGTTGCTTCAAATGCCCTGGGCTTGCCTCTGCTCGGCCCAGTTCCCCACCTCATCCAAGAACAAAGCCATGCCTGAGGTCACTGGGTCTAGTTTGCATCACATCTGGACAGCATCCTTTTCCCAGCCAACGTGGAGCGCTGGCTCAATTGCTGGCTCCATTTTTTTCCCTCTTCAGATCCCTGTAGGTGCCGCATACATTAGGGAGGAATTTGCAAAAAGACTTATGAAATGAAACATTCTGCTGAAGTCAGCCGTCAATGGCGGGATCGCATGTCACCCAGGGTGACGCCAACGACCAGCCAGAGAAAGCCCGTCCTCCTCCAGCCTTCCCCCGCTTGGCCCCTCAGAAGCCAGAACGTGGACTGCAGCCTCTCGGCCTGTTCTCGCTTCCTGCCTTAGTCCTAGAAAGCACACCTCTGCTTTCCCCGATGACTCATTTACAAGACTTGTTGGAAATATGTTTTGGTTCCACCCGCTGTGAACTGTATCTGGATTTTATGGTAGGAAGGGTGGAAAATGTTCAGCTCAGCAAGGGAACCGCCACCTGAGGCGCCTTTGCCCTGAGTCTCCTTATCCAGAGGTTGTGGTGTGCAGCTGCCGGCTTTCCTTGTGGGATACTAAATAACACGTTAGCCTCAGAGACTGTTTCCTTTCCTGCTATTTATTCAATTATTTTCCTCCTTACCCCCCTCCCTCCTCATGTCCACATTTTGCTAATGCAGAGGCGATTCTATCCTCTCCTCTTTGCAGACTTTGGCTTGAGCAACTGCGCGGGGATCCTGGGCTACTCCGATCCGTTCAGCACGCAGTGTGGCAGCCCCGCCTACGCCGCACCAGAACTGCTGGCCAGGAAGAAATACGGCCCCAAAATCGACGTCTGGTCCATGTGAGTGATGGAGCGTGTACAAGTCAGTGCTCCCTCCTGCTGTCTCTGCTGTTCTTCTCCAATGAGATAATTCTTTCGTATTTGCTGAGAATGTGTTTAGGAAAGGTTCTGGAACATGTCATCAGTGATTCTTTGGAACCTGGCTTTTCTTCTCTGTTCCTTCTAGTCTTTTCTGCATAAACTGCCAGAATGGCCATTACCTAAATTCATTAAGATGCTGGGGAGAGAAGAAAACCAGGTCCTGCACTCACGGACCTCACACTCTGGTTGCACGAGCCACTTAGGTCCTACTTAAGATCCAGCTGTGACTTTCCGAGCATAAAGCCTCATCTCACTTCTGCCTGCTTCTCCGGCCTCTCTGAGCCCTACCTCGCCCTCCACCCAGGATTCCTCAGACATTCCACCACCCTTTCACCTTGTCCACCTCTGGGGTTTGCACCTGCGATTTCCTGTGCCTAATCTGCTGTTCCTAGCTCTTCAAATGGCCCACCTGTCCCTGCATTCCAGCCATAATCCAACAGCCCCCCCTGCCACACTCTCCAGCACCCTGCTGGAGGACCCCGGGCTCTCCTCACCCTGTTCATTTCCTCTTTCACACCTGTCCCTGCCTGTCATTTCCTGTTTCACAATGAAGGTCTGTCTCCGCCAGTCAGAGGGGACGGTTCTGGAACAGTTGGGGACTCTTTATGCTCAGTAGAAGACGGTGGAGGGTAGAGTTTGTGAATGAGTAAATAAATAGATGGGACTCTGGGAACCTGAGATTGCAGCAGAGCCTCCGAGGGTGTCCTGTGACTGGGGACAGGGAGACCTGATGACCAAAGAGAAAGAGAGGTTGGTAGGTTAGGGAGCAGGGGACCTAAGGGGCCGGTCCCTGCTGTGTGGTCTCTAATCCTCAGACTGAAGAGGCTCAGCCTGAGGAAGGGGACCTTTTCTAGACCGTGTCAGGTGAAGCAGGCATCTCCCCCAAGTCTAGAATGTGAGCAGGAGGAAGGGCCGCAGGAGGCACCCAGGTTGGGCCTCCCGACGAGAGGCACAGCAGGCTTTGTGCTCAGCCTGGGACTTCTGTCTCCTCCGCTCACTGCGACATGGAAGTGAATCAGGTATCTGTCTGGAGGGAGACGACGGGAGATGAAAAGCCCCAGCGGCAGAAAGGTCAGACTTTGTTCTTGCTCCTCCTGCCAGGTGGCTTGACCGGGGAAAAGAGTTCATTTTTAGTAACCACAGACACTGTGTTTCTCCGCTTCAGGCCCATGATTAAAAGAAAGCAGCCTGCTCCTCCGTGAAGGCTCTTTCCAACCCACGTGGCCCCTTGCCACCTTCTCTGTCTCTGTCCATTAAGCAGAAACAGTGACTCTACCTAGAAGGAATGGTGGCATCCGCTGAGAGGGACAGAGATGATACCAGACCCGGATGCCTGGACACTCTGGGGTCTGTTGCTTCCAGCCAGGGAGCAGCTCACTTCCCTCCCAACCCTGGCTCCTGGCATGGTGGGGTCACTCCTGGGGCAGCTGGACATTTCCGAGTTCCCCTGCTTTATTGCATTGTTTTTCCTCCAAGAAGGTAATGCACAGCTGCAGGTGCCCAAAAAAGCTCTAAGAGGTCACATTCTTAGTCCTGGTGAAATACAGTCGTGTATGCAAAAGTCCTAGACAAGTGGCAAAATACCATGTGGTTTTCCAGTTCGTGGAGGCACACACGAAAGCAGAAAATATGTAGAATTGCATTTATGTGAGAGGGCAAACTCAAGGGCACGAGACCTTTCCAGGTGAATCTCTCATGTTTGCTAATGTCCCATTTGGCCAAGCCAGTTGAACGAGTAGGCTTTAAGTCAGGAGGAGAGGTAGACCTCACTCCTTGTTGAGGTGTGGCCAAAAACTGTAGCTTTGCATATGTGTGTGTGGGTGTGTGTGTGTGTAGGTGTGTGCACGCGCACGTGCACCTGCGTTGTAAACACTTACCTACCTCTGTGAACTGAGTTGTACCCTCTACTCCCAATTTATATACTGAACCCATAACCCTCAATGTGGTGATATTGGAGATGGGGCCCTACATAGTTAATTAGGTTTAGATGAGGTCATAAGGTGGGGCGCCATGATGGAATTAGTCCTTATAAGAGACACCAGAGAGCTTATATTCTCTGTGCCTTGTGAGGGGACAGAAAGCTAGGAAGATCATTCTCACAAGAATCCAGCAGACTAGGAAGAGGGTTCTTTCCAGAGCCCAGCCTTACTGGTACCCTGATCTTGTGCTTACAGCTTCCAGAATTGTGAGAAAACAGATGTCTGTTGTTTGAGCCAGCCAACCTGTGGCATTTTGTTATAGCAGCCTATGTTAGTCAGCTTTTTATACTATAACAAAATATCTGAGATCATTAACTTATAAAGAGGAAAGGTTAATTTCGGCTCACACTTTTGGAGGCTCCAGGCTATGATTAATGGGCTCTGTTGCTTTGGGCAGTAGCGATGCAGCAGATTACTGTGGGCGCATGTGGCAGAGCAAGACTGCTGACGTCATAAGCCAGGGAGCAAAGAGAAAAGAGGAAGGGACAGAGTCTCACAGTCTTCTTCAAGGATGTACCCGCAATGACATTAGTACCTCCTCAAGGTCACCTCCCAATAATACCACCCTGGGGACCAAATGTTTAGCATATGGACATTTGGGGGACATTTATTCAAGCCATAATATCATCCAAGCTATCTGAGGTAGCTACTTGCTTGTGAGTCTTAACTGTATACAAATACAGTGTGTCCGGTGGAGCAGAGGAGCAAACACAAGTGTACTTCTGGGATAAGTCAAGAAAGCATCAGAGGAGGCTTCATCTGCCTTTGCGGGATGAGTGGAGCTGGCCAGGTGGAGAAGGAGAGAGGATGCCTTCCAAGTAGAGGGTACAGCGTGTGCACAGGCCAAGAGGTTACGGGACATCCAACTACCAGAGCGCTTCATCTTGGTGAGAATCAGGACTTCAGAGCTTCTTTAAGAGATTGATTTTCCACTGCCTTAGGGTATTGTGTCTGAGATACAGGTAAGGCTTACCATTTGGTGCCCACAGCTTTGCCGACAGAATTGCAAATGGAAAACCCAAAGAGAATTTAATTTAAAAGCCTATTTAAGACAAAAGCAAAAATGGAGCCAATTTTTCTCCCTGGGTTAGACACTGTTGTTATGAAATATCTTCTCTTTTCATTGCTCCGAAACAACAACAGAATGAAGAGTTCCCTTCCAAGATCAAAATTCCCCTGTACAGAGGTTTTAGATTCTAGTAGCTGACAGGGACTTATTCTAAGACCTAAGTGGAACACTGACTCAGGAGGAAAACCAGCCTGCTATGCCAGGGAACCTCGGGAAGCTCTTTCCCACACGTAGGGTCCCTGGAACACTTCTAGTGAAATAGGAGTTAACTAGGGAAATGGAAATGTGCTCTTCCTTAGAGGTTTTCCATTATTTTCAGGACCATAAAAATTATCCTTAAAATTACTCACTTTTTTCCTTTACTTCGGATAAATAAAACACACACACACACACACACACACACACAATCTAAAATCTCCATTGAACTTTGAGACTTTACCCACAAAACCAAGATTTTCATATTGGTGCATCAAATCTTTACTGTTGCTAACTGATCTTTTTCTAGAATGGTATATATGCTAATTTAAAAAAATTTTAATGCAGATATACTTTTTGGTTGAAAAGAATCAAAATTAACTTTTTGTTTAGAATATGACAAGGCTTGTTTAAGAATATCTGTGAGCCTCTTAGGGTAAAGACAATGGACTGTCAGAATTCTATCCCAAAGAATGGAGACTGCAACCTTTCATACATTGGAGCTGCTCTTTGCTGTCCTGGGGGGTTTCTGGAATGGGTGGAGCATTGTGTGAAGGCAGAGTGCCTCATGGAGAGTCATGCATGTCACACCCAAGTCACCTCCTTCGATTACTGAATTTATTTTCGCTGAGTGAGAAAAAAATCTCTGCCAGTCTCCCACGTCTTTGAGTAGATACATTGACCGAGAGGCGCCATCTTGTTTGTTCCCAGGTCTCCCATCTCCATGAGAACTGGACACCCAGGATGCAGAGTGAGAGAATTTATTTCAGGCCTCAGACTCAGTGCTTGGTAAAAGTACTATCAGATACCATCAGCTATTAGCAGGAATCAGGTGTAGAAGGATTTTTTCCTCCCCTCACACTCCCTCAAAATGAAGGACGGATGGAGAAGGAGGTGGAAAGAGACTTATGCTGCTTTTGGAAAGTTCAGGGCTTTTGACTTTTAAAAGTTATAAAAAGTCTGAAAGCTTTTGAGCTTTCAAAGTTATAAGACCCCAGCCTCCCCTCCCTTTTTGCAGCTCACATGAGCATTTCAAATAGAAGAGGTGAAGGGGGATAGGAAATGGAAACACAAGTCTTGAAATCCACAAGAAAATCCATAGAGCATTTATGGAGCAGGATTGAAGAGTGAGATTATCTAAAGAGATGGATCTGTTCCTCTTCTTCTTATAAGACCTTAAATTGAAAGTTGTATTATTGAAAATTGATAGTGAAGAATGGAAGGATATTGCTTTCAGGTGGAGTATATTCTCAATTTTCCAAGGAGGTTCCTTCCTGGAAGACTCACAGAAGCAAGGTGTCTGTATCTGGGAGCTTCTCTTAGCTGCACTCCAGCTCTCTCTGGGTGGTTGTCGAGAGTCCTTTCTGTGTGCCCTGTGGGGACACGGGATCTGTTCCTTCCAGTGCAGTGCTGCCAGTTGCTCTGTCCCTTGCATCTTGGTACAGTTTCTGGAGACTTATCCAGGGAGCAGCGAGTCTATGTCTTTCCTCTCTGGGATGGCAGTTTTACCCCAGATTTTCCTTCAGGAAATGTCTTTGTGTCTCGACTAAACACCAGGACCACCATGTAGCTTCTGACTTAACTTCAAATATTCCACATTTGTGCTTCATGGGGCCCCTTTCCTTCCTTCAGTCCCTTAACCTCACTCTTTCTCCTTCAACATTAGAGGATTCCACTGTCCAGTCTCCTTTGGGTTTTTTCCCATCCAACAATGACTCACCCATATTTCTTTCTGCTTGGAAACATGCTAGTAGTATTAGCTGGTTGATCTCCCTCATTCCTGTCTCTAATTATTCCCTTTCTTCAAAACTATCTTCGATTCTTAGGAGTCCCGTGTCTGCCACAGAGAACCTAGGAAGCCCCTGAGCCATATTTCAAAGACCCGTCAGGAAATTCTGAACATGTTTGGAAACTCCTCCTAATTCCATGGGATTACAGAGGTTTATCAACTGCATTCCATGTTTCCCCTTGGTATTTCTGCACACTTGTCAAACGTCAAAGGGACTACATTTCTCTTCATCCAGACATGAAACTTGTTTGAAACTCCAGGGGAGAGGAATTCAGATGCCCAGTCTGGTGGTTTCCTTTTTGACATCTAGAGCTTTCTGACTACTAATGTAGGTTTCCATTATTATTTGGCTACAGGACACAAATACAATGTTTCCTGTTGTTTTTTAAAAGATTTTTTTAAAAATGAAGCCACAGATCACATGTACTGAGCACTCAATTTTTACCAGGCTCAGCGTTTGGTTCTCTCTGTGGTTTCCTTTGTTTGACCTCCATTTGACCTGGGAGGTAGGTGCCATTGTTATTCCCGTATTTTAAATGAAAGACTCTGGGATAAGAAAGTTCTTTCTAAGGATTGGTGATGATTGACTCCTCTAAGAGAAGTAGAATTCTGGTGTCAATTTGGTAATCAAGTGTTTCTATAGAAACCACTTGCTGGACCCTGTTTGGAGCTCCCTGGAACCATCTTTTAAGACAGCATCTGTCACCTTTATCTGTGGCCCAAGCCAGACAACAGAGAGGCAAAGACAACTGTCGTAGGCAATGACTGGAGATTCAGTCATCTTTAGAAGCCATTCAGTGACAAGGAGGCAAGCAGTTTGGCACCTCCAGGTCTCCTTAAAGAAACTTTCATGGAGCTTTAGAGCGGGCCCCATACACTCCCCAAACCCCTTCAATTGGGTTCCTGCCCCATGGCCACAGCATCCTGCAGGTTGGATCCACTCCACCCATGACAGGAAGTCACGTGACCCCTAAAGACAAAAGGGCATATAAAAGGTCTTCAAACTTTTGAGTAGTGCACACTCTCTTTTTAAAGGAATGATGTTCTTGATCACCTCACCTGTCGACTTAGGGTTATTTTTATTTAAATGTTACTTACAAGTTCATGAATCCAGAATCAAACTCCTCTGCCCAAACCAAAATTTACAAGTTAAATATGACTCGGACTAAAAGAACCCCCAAGTTTTCCAAATAAGCAACACTAATGAGACGCAGTGGTGGATGGTCCGCGGTGCTGAGTTGTTGAGTGCAGTCTCCCTGCTGGCCTCAGTTCTCCACCACTTTTCAACTTCCGATGGCTTTCAAACCTGAGTGTGCAACAGAAGCACTTGGGAGGTTACACCACAAGCTCTTGCTGATGCTGCAGAAGTGGGAGACACCCTTTGGGAACCACTGCACTATTCCAGCTGCCAGGAATAAATATATCTTTTCCACAGATATAAGCTCAGAAGCCTCACTTCTGCTCTGTTCCCATTAGACTGTGACCATGAAAGGGATATGTTTTGGTAAAAATTGTGCATCCCTGCCAAAGCAGCACTGAAATTCTGTGTACAGGGGAGGGTCTTGGTTATGTGATAGTCCTGTTGGTGCCCTGGTTCTGGTTTACAAAATGTTTGTGTGTGTGTGTGTGTGTACGCGCGCGTGTACATCATCAAAAAGAAAATCAAAATAAGAACTGTTGAACCCCAGAGAACATGCCTGTGTACCTCAATTTCAGAAGCACTGCCTGGGTGGGACATTATAAGACACTGATCTAAGTACCACCAGCCTCTTTAGCTTTAGTGTGAAGGTTGGAGATGAGATGCACACAAGTGAGCAGGGGTAGAATCCTTTAAAAACATTTCTATTTTACTTTTATTTTTTGCCCTTAAGTTCAATTCAATCAAATTCTGTTGCCAGATTAGGAATTTGTTCTATAGCATGAAAACTTTAAAATTCATTAAGTACATGAACCAACTGGTGTGTTTTCAGGGCAGAGAGCCAGATTGTTGATAGGACTCTAAGCCATGGCACATGAAGCACAGGCAAAGGGCCTGGGGTGGGGAGGTCCTGATTCCAGCTTTCAAACGTGTCAAGTGCTGACCACGGAAGAGCAGCTGATCTTGTTCCAGAACTGAAGATGGGGGATGTCGACCTTGGCCTAGTGTTGGAAGCCCTTCCTCCTGCAGAGCTGTCCTAAGTGGATCAGGATGCCTTAGGGAGGGTGGGTGCTTGCCCTTGAGGCTGTTCAGTGCTTCCCATCAACTTTCTGGGATGTGCTAGAGGGTTACATCCATTAAAGCCTCTTCATATTTATAAATTTTAGAATTTTTCTGCTAAGTTTTTTCTCTTACCAAAATCTCCAAAAATTCTTCAAGGTAAAGGTGTTTGGTTTTATCTTAAACCTATCTTAAATGCAGCATTGTATAGTAGGTTCTCGAACGTGTTTCCAACCCTAACGCTCCTTCCCTCCACCCCCAAAATTGCTCTCTCAGCCTCCTCCGTTGTCCCTCTGTGGCCACCGTAGCAGGTGTCCCATGATGGCGGTTTTGCGTGTCCCCTTCACATGCTGCTGATTTGCTTTCTCTGTCTATTCTGTGCCATTGTTTTCATTCCGACATCAATGGTGATTCACTGCCTCTGCGGCCAGTCTCCTGCTCCCCATTCTGAACCCCTTTAATCCATTTACAGGAGAGGGCTACTCCCCACTTTGGCCCTCATTTGTGTTCATTTCGCATCTGTCCATATCCTGAGCAGTGAGATTCGTTGAACCCACAGTGAGAATTGCTGCTGTAAATGGCTGCCTTGTCTGTTCTCATCTCCATTTCTTGATTTATGCCATTCCTCTCCCCCTCTTCACCTCCAAGCAGCCAGAGATATTTACAAATAGAAGCTCATACCCTCGGTACTCACCACCCGGGAGGCCTCCCTGTCTTCCGGTGCCTGTGGGTCTATCCTTCCTCTCCCTTCGTTGAACTACTGCTAGTGGCCCTCAAAAGCAGCTCAGTTCAGCATTTTCTTATTTCCTGTGCACTTGAAAGGATGTGCTTATTTATTTGTGTATCCAAGTGCCTGCTTCTCCCCAGCCCCAAATCCAAGATGGCGACATCCTTCTTGGGTACCTATAACCCTGTGTGGGCAGAGAGGCATCCCGCAGGAATTTGTGGAATGAACATTTGTGTAACTGTCTCCCTCACTCCGCTGTGAGTTCAGAGCAGGAACTGCCTTTTACTGTGTGTCTGAAATTTGAGAATGATTTCTAGTCAGAGCCCGTGGGCTCTGGTACCTGTCATTATCTGGAATGCCATAATTCAGAGGCGCCTCTGTGGAATTAGGCCTCAAGGGTCTTAATTTCAATCAGTCTCATCGGATTTGTTTTGACTGGCAATCCTACTGCCTGTTTTTAAAACATATTCCCCTGGGTGCTTTTGAACGGTGGAGACCTCTTGGCAGGCAGGCATTTCATCCCCTTCAGGAAATCTCATCAAAATGATATTAGGCTTGCACATCAGGAAGATAGAAACCCTCTGAGAAGATGTTGCTATTCTCTAGATTGGCTGTGGATATCAGCAGTTAAGCCTACTCAGAAGGTATTTTAACTGTAGCTGAGGTTTTGGGCCAGCGCTGGGTGACAGGGTCTCACAATAAGGAATAAAATAAGAATGGGGGTGGAAAGGAGTTTCCTCTAGTGAGAAACCAAAGAAAAATTCAAGAGAAGAGCAACACACTGGTTTTCCAAGGGTTGATTGTTAACCTGGTTTCAAAGGCCTGGTTGGTAACCTGGTGAGCTCATGGATCTGGGTGCTCACAGGCAGGTCTTGCCCCGGATGTTTTGGTCTGCCTGGCCACTTGTAGATTCCACCTTGTAAACCACACTTGGACAACTGCATCGTGGCAGGACCACTTCTGAAATGCTTGAGACCTGAATTTTGGGGATTTGGGATATTTTCCAGATTTTAGAATCTTTGCATGTACATAATGAGATATGTGGGGGATAAGGCCCAAGTCGAATCACTGAATGGATGTTTCGTGTCCACTGAAGGTAACTATGCCACACGTGTGGTGAACCTGTGTTCTGATTGACCTGTCACATGAGATCAGAGGTAGGGTTTCCACTATGGTGGCAAATTGGGGCTCGGTAAAGTTTCTGAGTTTGGAGAATTTGGGAGGGGGTTCCCGTTAGGGATGCTCAACCCATTCATGTCAGAGAGTAGAGAGGGATGTGGTTTCCCCTCCCGAGGAGGCAGATCTGGAAGTTCTTTATGCTCCTGTTCATCTCTGGAGTCCTGACCTCCCCAGAGCCCTTCAGTGTGGGTGCTTTGACATGGTGCTGCGGGTTCTAGAAAGATAACCGGGAAAGAGAACTGTGGAAGTAACATCATAGAAACTAACATCATGGAAGTAACATCATGGACTAAGCCTGTGTCCTCTTTGTCCTCCTCACCTGGGGCCTCGCCCTGGCCTCACGCTTTGGTGTCTCTTTTCAGAGGTGTGAACATGTACGCCATGTTGACGGGGACCCTGCCTTTCACGGTGGAGCCGTTCAGCCTGAGGGCTTTGTACCAGAAGATGGTGGACAAGGAGATGAACCCCCTCCCCACCCAGCTCTCCACAGGTAACTCACCTGCAGCTCTGGATTTAGGGTTGCAGGACCTTGGTTCTGACTGGCCTGAGTCCATTGGTGAAGCGGCATTTTGTCTTGCAGGGGTGCTGTCATGGCTTTCCGGGGAGTTTAGTTTCCACTGTTTAGTCTCCAGGGGAGGCTGGGGTTCCCCTCTCTGAGCAGCCCCTCTTCTCATCTCACCTGTATCCTCTCCATTTCTGTTAGAATTCCAAAGCCCTAACTCCTTCCTTCTAAACAAGACACACATATCCAAGAATCTTCTGTTCTCCACTTGGAAAGTAATTGCAGGCTTCGTTGTTTTAAATCTCTCCATGTCATCACGTTGGCTTGAAGAAGAGGGTCTGTCATCGTCCCATTTCTATTATGTTTTCCACAGTCTGTTCTTGGTTTCAGTCACGTTGTTTTGTTATGGGAGTTTTTGAGCCTGTTCAAAAGCTCTTAATGTATGTGGATGGGTTCAGTGACTTCATTAGACTGACTCATCAGGTATGTTAGAAAAGTACTCTCAGACTTTGGCTGGTTCACATTTCTGTAAACAGTTCATATTAAGGTTTGGTTTCTGAGCCTGTGAGTTAGGACAAATTGTTCTTTTGTTTGGTTCAAAGTTCGTATCAAGTTCCTGACCTAAGCTTGGCTTTGGTGATCCTTTAATTGTTCCCTTGGAATCAACACAGCTTCATTGGGAGGTTGCTTGTGACACCCCCAACCCCTCCCCCTCCACAAAGTAATTTTTAAAATTCAACTGTGATACATGGTTAAAATGGCATTTATTTTACTACTGTTAGGTGTTTTTTTTTTTTTTCTTGAGTTTATAAAGCATCCATGAAGCTGACCTTGAATTCTTGCTTGCCCAGTGGAATCAAAGCTGAAATGAGTTCTCAGAGGTCCTTTATATAAATTTTTTTTTTTTTTTTTTTTGTGATACAGGGGCTTGAACCAGGACCTTGTCTAAGCTAGGCGAGTGCTCTAGCCCTGAGCGGCACCCCCGCCCTGAAGTGAGTTCTTGTATGCAATCATGAACTCAGGCCACACTGTCACCTTCGTGAGGCAGGGTGGAATCCCTGGAGGTTGCAAGCTAGTAAAGGAGGCCTTCCATCCTTGGGAAAATGTGGTCCAGTTCTGTCTTCGAAAAGAAACATTTCTGCTTTGAGAGCTGTTAACTCTTAGAGGTAGAAAATGTGCAAAATGGTGAAGGAATGATTATGTGTACTTTTACAGCTTTCAGAAATTTGGAAAGTGCTGCAGAGCACCATGGGGAATTCTCATTCCTTCATTCAGTGCATATTTCATTGATTCACTTTTTTTTTGTGAACATGTATTATGCACCAGTTGTGAGCTGGGCATGTTCTAGGTGCCAGTAACACAAGAAACAAAGTCTCTGCCCTTATAGAACTTATACTGATTTCAATGAGTAAGGGCAATAAATAAATAAATAAATAAATAAATATACATATATATATATATACACACACACACACATTTAAATTGCGATATTTGGTAGCGTAAGTGCTTTAACATAAAATCAGCATAAGGGGATAGAGAGTAAAGGGGATAGTTTTTATTAATAAGATTTCTAAAAAATACTTTTCCTTGTGTGAGCTGAGTTTGTGGCTTAGTGGTAGAGTGCGTGCCTAGCATGTGTGGTGTGAGGCACTGTGTTTGATTCTCAGCCCTGCATGTAAATAAATAAATAAAGTAAAGGTCCATCAACAACTAATAAGAATATTTAAAAAGAAATTTTCTTTGTGGCATTATTCCAGATTCACAATTGTAAGAATAACACGGAGAGGTTCATATAGCCTTCATTCAGTTTCCTCCAATGACAGAACCTTGGATAGTGGTAGCATGATATCACTACCAGGAAATTAGCATTGATACAATCTATTGGCCTTATTCAGATTCCACAGGTTTCACAGGCTTTCATGTTCGTGTTGGTGCGTAGTTAGTTCTATGCAATTTCATCATAGAGGTAGGTTCATATTATGGCCACCACAGTGAAGAGACAGCGCAGTTCCATCTCAAGAATCCCTGGTGTGGTCCCTCTATAGTCACTGCTCCTCCCTCCCTCCCGTTCTCCCTGCCAACCACTGTCCTGTTCTCCATATCTGTCACTTTGTCATTTCAAAAATGCAATATATGTGCGTGTGTTTATGAATGTGTATATGTGTGTGTGTATGTGTGTATACATATGTCACTTTTTGTTCACTAAGCATAATTCCTTTGAGGTCCATCCAAGTTGTTGCATGTGTCAGGACCTTGTTTCTTTCTGATGCCGAGTAGTGTCCCTGGCATAGATATATCAAGGTTGGTAACAGTCACCCACTGAAGGACCATTGGGTCATTTACAGTTTGGGGCTGTTATGAGGGAAGCTGCTGTAAACATTCACATGCGGATGTTTGTATGGATATGATTTCACTTCTCTGGAGCAAATGCCTAAAACTGAAATTTTTGAGTCAGATAGTAAGCACATGTTTAGTTTTGTAAAAAACTGCCACGCTCATGTTCAGAGTAGCTGCACCATTTTGTATTCCCTCTTGCAACCTTCATTTATAGCAACATTATATAGTCAACGAATATTGTCATCTCTCAGGGTGATTCGGAAGTGACTCAGATGGTTTGGAACTTGCTTTGACCATAACACAGTACAGTAGCAATGTGTTTGCACTGCATGCCTGGAAAAGGCAGGCGGTGCTCACTCTGAATCCCACTGAGAGCCTGAGTAGCTGGAGAACTGCTGATCTGCTGCCTTCTCACTGTATTAGTCAGGATAGGCCAGGTTAAGCTTCAGTAACAATCATCTCCCACTCCCGTTCTTAGAGACTTGAGATCATGAAGGTTTATTTCCACTCATGCTATATATCTGTTAAGAGTTGGATCAAAGATTGAAGGGCTCTGCCCTCCTATAGCCCCAGGCTAGTGGAACAGCTGCCATTCCAAGATTATTGGTCCATGCAGAGGGAAGCAGGGAAAGAGGTGTTTCACCAAAGGTATTTCACCAGCAATGAAATCTCCTACAGTGTGTCCCTTCCACTTAAACCTCTTAGCTTTCTAAAGCATGGCACATAACTTCACTTAGGAAATGAGGTGGAACAGTGCCACTGTACCATGTGTATTGAAGGTGGGAAGCCAAAGAGATTTGCCAGGTGCCTTAGTGTGAGACACACACAGGCTGTGGCAGGAGGACTGGCAGTTCAGCCTGCTTTCATCATGGGCCTGGGCTGGGCAGCCACACAAAGGCAAGTGGGTTAAGAACACAAGAGAATCAGTCTCATTACTTCAGAGACGTGCCATGTTTTCCCTCCCAATACCCTTGCCCACCTACTAAGGCTGGTTTCTAAGTATTTTTTTTTTTATTGGGAAAATTAAATTTTTCTTTAAAAAAGTAAAAAAATGCACACTTTGAAATGTTAAGAAACACTCTAGAGGTAATTGCAGAGAGGAAATATTGAAACCTTTCCAAGTGCTTTCAGGGTCACTGGAATTGGTGTCTCACTTTGTGACTGCACATGGCTCCTGCTTTGAGCAGAGAGCTTTTTACTTGGACCCTGGGCACAGCTCGTGAGCGTGCCTGTGAAAGAGCCTCATGTTTCTACAGGACTTTATTTTTTTGACTTGTCAAGCATGAATTGCATTTCTAGATCTGATTTTCCAGTTAAGGAGTCTGGTTTCCCTTTTCTGCTTTTAAAACTATTGGTATACATAAGGAACTCAACCAGGGCCTAATCCTCTACGCCAGGTGTCAGGTGTAGGGTTTGCCCACGGTTGATGCTCAGGGACTCTATGCTGCTGCCTCTGGATTTAAAGTGCATGTGTGGCCTGGGCAGACAGCCTGCTCATTCATTTGACTACTCAGGGCTGGGAACTGGCCCTTTGCAGAAGGGTCCAGCACCAGCTGCTAGGTAGCCCCGGGCATCATCTATTGTTTATGGACTGAAGGACTCGGGCTTTGGGCATCAGCTGCTGTCCTCATCGTCCCTGTTTTTCCAAGCCGTTGCACCCCACCTGGTTTATCTCCTTTCCCTTCCAACCAGCCCAGCTCACCTGTACCTGTAACTTCCAGGAAGACCAGTTTACCCTAAAAAAGAGTAGTTGCTGTTTATGGAATAACCGTGCGTAGGTGTTTTTCACATTTTTTTCCCCACTCAACCTCTGTGGTAAGTACCATCATTCTCAATTTACCAACGAGGAAGCCGAGTCTCGGGGGGATCACATCTGCCTGCCTGGCTTCTAGATTTTGCCACTGTATTGTGCTATTTTCATTTCCTTATTTTATTGAGTATAAGATGCCTCCCCTCCCTAAGATTTACTAGTATCTAGTGCCTGTAGGTCTTTGTGCTTTGAGTAATGTCAATCCAGATTGAAAATACGTCAATTTGATCGTGCCTCGGTAACACACATTTTTATTAATTTGACAGTTCTGTCACTCCCAGTTGTAATGATCATATCTATTTTATCCTCGTCATCTTTTTAGAATCAGCTTAAAGAATTTTTGAAATCTGAGTCGAATCAGCATTGTTATCCTTGCAAGTCCATGAAACCTGTCCCTCATTTCTGTCACCTCAGTGGACACTCAAGCTTCTGGGCCCTTCCAGTTCTCTCTTCTAGATGACTTCCTCTTCCCACGCATTGGCCCTTGTGTATGATAGAGCAGTGACTGCCTTTCACGGCTTAGAAATTTTGCCTCTTTGCTCTTTGATCGTTGCACCCCAGCTGTAGGTAGCATTTACAATACAGCCCAAGAGTCACTTCAGAGTTAGAGGGTTCTGTGCCATGGAATCACCGAAGCGAAGCTGGAGAAGTGTTGGCATGGGTGAGGGTGAGCCCATGCTAGTTAAGGTTTCTAAGAAGACTTGGCTGTCAGACTCAAAGAATCCCTTCTCCAGGGAGGTGAGGGGGCAGCAGCCCTGGAGATGGGGCTCCGCTCCACTTGTGTCCGACTGGAGTCACTCCTGAGTCTGACGGCTTCCTCCCTCTCGCAGCCCTTTGCCTAGGCACAGTGACGGCTCCAGAAGGAAAGAGGGTTCCACACCACAACAGCATGTGGCTTGTGCTGTGTTGAGGGTGACAGAGCCTTGTGGCTCTTCCCAACTCTCCCAGCCTGAATGGAGAGATGAAGGGTACCAGGGATAGAGGTGGCGTGAGGCCAGGCTCACTGTGGCTTTCTGGGACGGTGGGGAATATTTTTAATCCCTTTTGCCCCAGAGACCTAGAGATATTCAAGACCTAACACAGACTCCAAAGAAGTCGAAGGATGTGCTCAAAGTCCTTTTAGGATAGCAATGCAATGTCTGTGACGTCCAAGGGAATAAAATTCGTCAGCAGAGATTTGAACTAAAATTACTTGGGCTCATCAGCAGTTTGTGAAGATGCAGAGCGCTTGGTTGTGAAAATAGAACAAACACGCACATCCAGTTTATCCTTAGCTTTTCTGGTTAATCACACTCTGCAAAGGCCCGGCCGTAGTCTGGGAGGGTTGTTCAGGTCCTTTGAGGGTAAGCAACAGAGATGTCTCAGAAGTCATCCTACTCAACAACTCCCCGGTTCCCTTCATCAAGCCCATATCTTGATCCTTTGACCAGTAGGTGCCCCTGGTTAAGATCCAAATGACTGGGCAATGGAGGGGTGCTAAGGGAAGGGAGATGGAAGGTCCCAAAAAAGGAACCTCTTCTTTTAGAGAGCTGTTTGCACTGAAGAACATTTTAGGAACATTTTACTTGGAGATCCAGCTGTCACCTTTGTGACATTAAACATTCCTCGTGATTATTATGGTGTCTAACATATGTTCTTACCTGCTTCATTCTTAAAGGGACATGACCTTCTGGTGACCTTGTTAGCTACTTGGGAACCCTCCCTGGAGGAGTCACCTGGGGCATGACCTAGCAAGAGAGAGTTCCATTGAATTGATTCTTGTATCACAGGTGGCCCCTCATGATGGCCTTATTTTGGGGGAGATACCAGGGATTGAACTCAGGGGCACTCAACTGCTGAGCCTCATCTCCAGTCCTATTTTGTATTTAGAGACAGGGTCTCACTGAGTCGCTAGTGCCTTGCTGTTGCTGAGGCTGGCTTTGAACTTGTGATCCTCCTGCCTCAGCCTCCCAAGCCACTGGGATTACAGGCATTAAATATTCCTTAATACGTTTTTAAGAACAGCATTAAAATGAAAACATAAAGGTGGTAAGAAAATGAGAGTTTTTAATGACTTTTCCTTGCAAAGTGGGGCCCTCTTAGAAAACTGGAAAATAACATTGGAGGAAAAGATACAAAAATTTGGAGACCAAGTAAATTCAGATTATTTTTCTGGGACTTACTATTTGGGATGTTGGAAATTGGATATCATGTACAAGGCTACATAAAAGACTATTTTTATATTGCAAGACATTACAATAATGCTCCCTAAAATAAGAAATATAGAATAAGAAAATATCGTAATCCCAGAACTCAAGCAAGTCAGAGCATCGTCATTTTGCAGTGATCCCCAGCATTCTCTGACCACAGGTGGACACCCTGCCTGTTTTCAAGCTGAACGGTTTTGCAGTCCGTGACCTTGATATGCATATATTTATGTCATGTAGTTATCTCCCTTGTTATAATCTTCAAGGATGCAAATGCTCTGCTTGGAGATGAACTAGCTTCTGATCTCTAGAGCTCAGCAGATAGCAGGTGTTCTGTGACTGTTCAGCGAAGGCAGACCCAGCGCATTTTAAAAGATGACTTTTGCCTACGATATAAGGAAAGGGGGTTGTTGGGATTTTATAGTTTTGTCAACAGTTCTTCATATCCTGTCCGCTCACATCATGCTCGGCATGACTAATGTGACTGCGGCAAACTCCTGAGGCCAAAAAATAAGGAGAAACTTTATTGGCATACACTCTGCCCATGCACAAAAAGGAGGGAGTCCACCTGGTCAGCGTGGTACTTGCTGGAGCTCTGTACACAAATTAGGAATTGAAGATGCGAGTCGCCATTACAGAGCTTACTTAGCACTTTAGCCAGAGCATGTGGCTCTCTGGTGTCACATCAGCCTGAAGAGCTTGACTTGGTGGGTATGGCCTCTGTCCAGTCTGGGTACTGCGTCATCTGTTCAGAGAGTCTGGGAAGAAGTGAGCAGCCGTGGAGAACTGTTTAAAAGAAAGGACCTGGGCTGGGGCTGGGGCTGGGGCTCAGAGGTAGAGCGCTCACCTACCACGAGTGAGGCACCCATCCTCAGCACCGCATAAAAATAAAAATAAAGATTTTGTGTTCACCTATAACTACAAAATAAATATTTAAAAAAAAAAAAAAAAAAAAAAAGGACCAGAAAGAACCTCCTTGGGCTTCTGAGAGCTGGGTGCCTACCCCATGGTAAAGGCCAAGTCTGGGGTCTAATTAGGCCTCTCCTGTCCCTCTGGCTTCCTTCTGGGGTTGAGTAACTGGCCTGGAGAGCAGGCATTTTCTGTTTGCTTTCTTTCGTCCTTCAAGTGTGTAAATACACACTTTCTTGGTTTATTCTAAACAACAGTAAGAGATCACTGGTTGTGCTGGGAAGCACACAACTTAGGGAAACCAGACTGGTTCTCGCTGTTACATACCAATGTACCAGTTGCATCCCTTTTTAGAGAGAGAGAGAGAGAAGGAATGGGGTTTAAAACCCTATCTGGGTCGGGCACAGTGGTGTGTACATGTAATCCCAGCAGCTTGGGAGGCTGAGGCAGGAGAATCACGAATTTGAAGCCAGCCTCAGTAATTTAGCGAGACCCTGTCTCTAAATAAAATACAAAAAAGGCTGGGGATGAGGCTTAGTGGTAAAATGCCCCTAGGTTCAATCTTTGGTACCAAAAAATAATAATAATAAAATAAAATAAAACCCCATCTTCTGAATGGGGTTTTATCAGAGGGGAGGTGGGGCGGAACTCGTACTCTGTGAATGATTGAGTCAAAGCTCTCCCTGGAGACACAGACAAAGATCCCAGCAGCAGTGGCCTGGGAGGGACAGGCGAGCTGGTGGGTCTCCTGCTGTGACTCTCATGGTGTCTGCATCTGCGTTCAGCCTGTAACTAACATGTTCTTTGCCAAATGTCTTCCAGGAGCCATCAATTTCCTGCGCTCTCTCCTGGAACCAGACCCCGTGAAGAGGCCAAATATTCAGCAAGCACTGGCGAATCGCTGGCTCAATGAGAATTACACAGGCAAAGTGCCCTGCAACGTCACCTACCCCAACAGGTAATTTAGTGCACACACAGGGACTCCGAAGTCCCTGTCCTTCAAGCCCTGGGTAGTCCTCTGGACAGCAGGTCACACAGGATTCAAAGCAGAGCCGCATTTTCGGTGCACAAGAGGAAGAAGACAGGGCTAGCATGGGTGGTTGTTCAGAGGGGCAAGTGGAGGCTGAAATCAGGCCGTGCTCCCCTCTCCTAGCCTTTCTTTAAGGGCCTGTGTCTTCCCTGAGGGGTGCTGCTTTTCAGTTCCCATGAAGGGACCATGTAGACAAACTGTGACGTGTGTATATTTGTGTGTGTGTGTGTGTGTGTGTGTGTCTGCCTGGGTCTGTGTGTGTGTGTGTGTGCATGTCTGTGTGTCTGTGTGCCTGTGTGATCCACCCCCGAGCTCTCCTGCCAACATGAGGCAGACTCCTGGGGAACTTTCCTTCAAACCACCCCTCAGAGGCCTCTTTGTCCTTGATGTTTCTTGCAGACCTGAGACCTCCCCTTAATGCACTGGGGGGCAGGAAGAAGAGGGGGTAGGGGTCACTCGCTTCCTGCGGGGTTTCCCTGTGGACTTCCTGTCAGGCTTGACCTGTCAGTATCCATGAGGAGGGCCTATTAAGGAGAGTGATGGACAGGGATCCACAGCCAGGAACACTCAGAGGCATTTTGTGTGGCCCAGGCTTCTCCATGCTGGGTGCTGACTACAGTTTTGAGAACAAGTACAAGAAAGCATGTCCTGACACTTTTTTTCCTACTCATCTGACATAGTATTAACCAATGTGAGCAAGGGAGGGAGGGGACCCTCACCTCGGCTACTTTAGAGCAGACCTGGAGACCACCCGGCCCGACACCTTGCAGGTCTGAGAACCGCTCTTCTTCTTCTTTCAGACCTAGGGAGGCCTGCACATTTGGCCACACTTGCATGGGGACCAGAGGACCGCTGATCGAGGGGGGACTGACAGGGCAGGGAAGGAGGTGTCCTCTGTGGTCATAGTTCTAAAACGCCTAGAAAATTCTGAAAACACGCTTCAGGTCTTATCAGAGCTGAAATGCTGAGTAGGTCTAGAAGAACTGAAGGGGGGCGGGTGGACCCCTTCACACCACTTTGTCCACACTACTTGGCCAAACTTACACTTGCTGTGGTCAGGGAGGAGGTGGTTTTGCACAGTTGCCATCTAGAATTCTAGCATTTGGCTCATGGGCGGTAATTTAGACAAAGTCTAGATTACTTAGGTTACCAAGGGAACCTGAAAATAGATTGCTGTTTTCCAACACCTGCTCAATTTGGGCCAGTATCTGAAACACACACCAGAAATATTACCCTAACGTGAGACAGAAAGCAGAGCTGAGGGGCCGGGCCTCATTACCAATGGATAGCAGCACTCAGGTGTGCTTTCTGTTAAAGGAGGGGGCATTGGTGGCAGCCAGATGAGCCATTAAGCTAATGTAATCACCACCTAAATGAGCATAATCCATCCACCAGCTCCTCAGCTGTGGAAGGGGTGGGGCTAGTATTAGAAAACCAGCCAGCCTCCTCCTTGTTGGCCACATCTTTGTTGACAGAGAGTCATGATGTGGTGTCTTATTTTGGAGCTTTCTCACATTTGCAAACAGGATTTGGTAGATTAAAACTTAAGTTCAAGTTCCTATACTGGTTTTGCCAGATTGATATTTTAATTTTTTTTTTTTTCATTTGAACTTGGTCAGAAACACAGAGATGGAACATGTAATTGGTTAGGTAGGTTGTAAACATGGTTAAGATCTCATATATAAACCACCCCCTGCCCCCACAGCTCAGTGTCTTCTGTTTATGTAAGGCCCATTACTCATCCTATACTAGAGTCAAATCAGTGCTCGAGTTTTAAGACAGGAAGCCAGAATTCCAAACGGTTTGGGGGAGGTCCATGTTATTTATAGTCTTTATTTTGAAAAATGTTTATCTTTAAGGCGAAAATATATTTTTGATACTTACTTTTCTTGTTTTACTAACACATAGATAAAAGGAGAAAGAACATACAATTAAAGAAATGACTATTTATAAAGTATGGTTTATAGTTTCCCAACATTCCTAGCCCCAGATTTGATTATTTTAGACATTGTCAGTGTTTTCCTTTAGGAAAGGAAGGTCCCAGGTTTTGTATCACTCTTCTGTGAAACCTTCTCCTATAAAGTTATTTGGACTTCTGAATTGATCTCTTAAAGGAAAGAGGAAAATAACTCTGGAAGTGAATTTTTTTATAATGAATATTCATGCCAATCAGTCCATACGTGTTTGTGGGGAGCCTGGCTGCCCCTTAGGTCTAGCACAGACATTTTTTAAGCCCACCTTGCTGCCTCTTGGTGCCTCCCCACAGGGTCCTGGACAGCTCCCCACCTCTCCTTTGGCTCTGGAGATGGGTGGGAGGAAAGGAGGTGATGGGTGATATAGAATAGTCCAAAATGGTATAAAACCAGATTTAATGAGATGTACTTAGTTTAAATTATACCTCACATTCTGGAACGGTTTGCTGTTCTCTGTGTCTTCCAAACATTCAGAGATGATACAAATTCAATAACAGATATTGGAGAATGCCAAATATATACATTATTTATTGGAAAATGTTTTAAATATGTATTACTTGCAGTCAAGAAACTGTTGACAGCCTGTTTTGGCAGGGCTCTCCTGTTTTTGAAGACAATTGATATAAAGGGAGCCATGGAGTATCTGCCCCAAGAACATCCCTCGCCACACTATCCCCCATTCCCCGGGCAGTGGCGCCTCACCACCTCCCAGGAACGTGCGCTGGACTAGAGGGTGGGACCTTGTGAGTGTGGATGCGGTCGGATTGGCCAGGAGCAGAGCCACGCAAGTGTCGCTGTGATCTGATTGGCCAGGAGCAGGACCACACCCCCCTCTGCCCCTACCTTGCGTTTTCAAACAGTCTCACCCTGCGTGTTGAGTGGTTTAGCCAACCACAAGTAGTTTTATATATTTGAACTAATGTTATTAATACCTTTTTTTTTTTTTTTTTTTTACAACTAGTCGTTTCAACTTCCCTCCTGGCCATTACCTAGAGTTTGTGATTTTATAGCAAACAGGAGTGAGGAGAAGGGTTTCATTTTTCTTTGGGCCTGTTTTGTTTTGTTTTTTGTTTTTGTCTGGGATGAGGCAGTACCTACTCCCATCTAGTGAGAGGAGAGCTTAGGTGGGTCACACCTACAGATGGTAAATGATGGTCAGGAGGCAGTTTTACCCTCCGCACCGTGCCAGCTGGCCATGTGGACTGGGCAAGTGGGGCCCCTGCTTTTTACAATTATAGGTTGCACTGTGGGGTTCCTCTGAGGTTCCATCAGAAATGTCTTCAGACCTTCTGGTGGCAGTTATGGGGCTCTCCGGCCATTTGCTTTAGCCTTCTGCTCACGGAGGGCCCTATTTGTGTCTCTCGAGAGATTTAGGATGATGCACCCCACACTACCTGCACATAGTGCCTTAGGACCCTCAGCCTGATTTCTTGTGCTCTATAGCCATTCTGTGTGTCCTTGAGAGGCAGTGAGTGTAGAGATTTGACCACCAGACCCAGCCAGGCTGCCCAGGTCATAACTGAAAGAATTTCCCACGCAAAGACACTTTGCCAGGAGAATTCCAATTAGCCACCCGTTTATTGGCAAGTTCTTCCAGATATCAGCTCCGGAGCCCAGGAATTAGTTCTTATTGGGGGTAAGGTTCCCCGCCAGCGAGATTTGAAATTGGCGCCGGCGGGAGAGTTCACACAGGCAGGAACTTTTCGCGCCACTTCAGAAAAGAGGAAGGTAGGAAGAAGAGGTCCTTAGGCACCATGTTGGGGTTTTTCTCTGGGGTACGGCTGCCTTTTATACTTTTCCCAACAATAACTCTGGGGCTGTTCTTTCCACCTGTGTGACTCTGGGAAAATTACTTCACTGATGTGGGCTTTGGTTTTCTTCTCTGTAAAATGGGCATAATGATGGAATCTACTCACAGACTGTCAGGAGGACTGAATCAAGTTACATTCTCTCTCTCCCACTGGAACGTCAGCTCCAAGAGGCAGGGATCTGGTGGGTGGGTGAGTGAATGAGTGATTAAGTAAATGCCCAGGATTTCTTAAGCCTTCTGACTTAATGAGTTTTTCACAATACGCCTGTGATGAAGCTTCGGCTTGTCTTCCTCTGAGAGCACCCCACTTCCCAGCTGAGCCCCAAGTTCCCTGCTGTGAACTTGTGAGCCTTCGCTGGCTCCTGACCGTGGTGTGGGCCAGCTTCTGAATACCTTTATTTCCCATCCCAAAGACCAGAGTGTGGGCTCCACCCACGGGCAAGAAATACATTTTATGGAAAATGTTTATTTGTAAAGAGACTTGGGAGGCAGTTGGAGAATTTGAATGTGATTTGAGTATTAGAGGATACCAAGGAATTATTAAAATGATACTAAGGGAGCATGATTCTATAGGGGATATTCTAGGGGAGGTTCAAAGACATACACTGAAGGATTTAAAAATACAATGTTATGGTGCCCGTGATTTAAAATACTTTGGCCAAAAAAAAAACTGAATGAAGCAAGTGTAGTGAAATGGTAATTATTACATCCAAGTGATGGTATGACATGAGGCAATTATGATCATCCCCCTATATCTGGGGGACTGGTTCTAGGATCCTGCCTCGGAACACCAAAAATCAACAGATGCTCAAATCCCTATGCACAGTAAAGTACTATAGTTTTTGTATATAACCTATGCACATCCTCTTATATATTTGAAACACCTGTAGATTACTTATAATACCAAATACAGCATAAATGCTATGTGAATAGTTACAATATTGCCTTTGTTTAGGGAATCATCACAAGAAAAATGTTGGTTCACGTTCAGTACAGAGAAATTTAAAACATATTTTCCATCTGTATTAGTTGAACCTCACCGGTGGGGAAGGCCTGGATCTGGAGGGCTGTCTGTACACTGGTCCCTTCACTTTCCTGGATGCATGGAATTTTTCACAGTCAGGTGGATGAATGAACGAATAGACCTGATTGTCCACAGGGGGCCTTTGGGGCCTGCTGTGCCGCCATGTTTGTGAGCCATGCTGTGGAGAGGTGACCGCTTGTGTCTGTGCCTCGCAGGATTTCTCTGGAGGACCTGAGCCCCAGCGTGGTGCTGCACATGACGGAGAAGCTGGGCTACAAGAACAGTGACGTGATCAACACGGTGCTGTCCAACCGTGCCTGCCACATCCTCGCCATCTACTTCCTCTTAAACAAGAAACTCGAGCGCTATTTGTCAGGGGTAAGTGGGACCCTGGGGGAGGTTTGTTTCTGTCCAGCGTTGCCCAGTTGCTGACACTTGATCCCAGCTACTAACTTCACCTGATGCAAAGCTGGGTTTCTAGACGGAGGGACAAAGGGGTAGCAAACCCTGCTTCTCAGGTAGCGCATTTAACCTGAGATGTTTTTCCAAGATTCTTGCGCAGAATTAAGCCTGGGCAGAATGGTGAGGGGTTCCAGCCTGTTTTCTTTCAACTTCTTAGTTGCCTGTTTTTCTTCTGCCCCATTTAGGTTCCCCGGGTTAGAGCTGTTGAGGGCTTCTCTGGTCATAAAAGTTGGGGAGAGGATCCTCTTGGGCATTCATCCATACAGCATGGTATTTGAGAAAGCCATGACAGCCCTCTGTATGTGGAGAAAATTCTACTGAACACATACAAATTTTTTTCCTTGTCATTATTCCCCTAAACAATACAGTATGACAACTAGTTACATAGCATTTATCTTGTAGGTAGCCCAAGTAATCTAGAGATTCAAAGTAAATAAGAGGGTGTGCATAGGTTATATGCAAATTCTACCTTGTTTTACATAAACATTGGCAGCTTTTGTATGCACTGGGGGTGGGGGTGGGAGTCCTGGAACCTATTGCCCCAGGACACTGAGGGATGCCTGTGGTGACACTTACTTCTCCAGAAAATAAGAATGAAATTGAGCTTCACTAGCTTGACCCCTATCTTCAGTGCAGTCTGGGTGTCAGAAAGTTCATGCCTGGTGTCATGTGTCAAGTGCATTTGGTGTCCTGTACCATTCTGGCCACAAGCAGTTCATATTGTGCCTGGGAAGGAGAGCTGACGTGCTTTGGCATCTAGTTTTGACTAAATCATCTCTTTCCAACTTGACAATGACTTAAACTAATTCTACACCTAAAATGGATCTAAGACAATAAAGATCCTATACCAGACTATCCCTGCTTCTATTCAGCTGGGTTAGTGCAGACCGGATCTAACAGGAGGTCAGTAAAGAAATTCAGAATTGGTAGGAAGCCCATCTAAGATTTGATGGAATATTTGCTTTCATGAAGGATAACCTTGATCCTGTGTATGTGGCACCTGGAGATCTGATAGAGTGCAATTGTCTCTGTTGGGACACCATTTAGAATCTAGATGGTAAGAATAAACTTTTAGAGCTTTCTCAGTGCTATTGAAAGTCACATGATAGCCCAGTATGTCACAAAATTCTTCCAAGGTTTAGAAACCTTTTTGAATATTAGAGCAAAAGATTAAAATCCATCTGCAGCTGGGGAATCCATATTCTCCCTGCCATGGCACAAATGACCAAAATACTATCCATAAGGCAAGAGGGTCAGTTTGTCTCATTAGCGGATAGATTTGGGAGATGGCTAGAAAACATGGCTTGATATATGAAGGAGCTCTACAGAAGGTTTGTTGAACAGTTGGATGAAAGTACAGATGTTTCAGCGGATTCAGCTTCAGATAGTTGCTAGATTTTGCTTCCGTAGGGAATTATCCACAGATTTTTTTTTTATTTTAATGAACCACCAAAAGAAAGAGAAGAAACATTCTCTACAGTGAAAGGCATTTCAAAATGAGAACGATGTTTTATGGGTGTAAAATATGCTCTGTGTAAGCAGAGAATCTATTCCACTGGGAATAGATTTGTAGCTTTGAGGTTGCATTTCAGTGTTGTTGCATCACTCATAGGAAAACTACTGTAGGAGAGGTGTCAAACCCAGAAAAACAGGACTTTTGACACATAGTGCATGTATCAGTCCATTTTCTGTTGCTGTGACAAACTACCCGAGGCTGGGTACTTTATAAAGAAAAGGTGTTTATTTAGTTCATGGTTTTGGAAGCTCAATGTTCAAGATTAGGCAGCTCCATCTGCTTGGTCTCTGGTAAGGACTCCCTGGCTGTATCACAATATGGCAGAGAATAGGAAAGAGAAATGACCACATGGATAAAAGCCAAGTGTGTTGGGTGGCCTCACTTTGTAACTGCCTGCTCCTAGAGTACTGCCTCACTCCATAAGATAGAGTCTCTAGTGACCTAATTATCTTGCACTAGGCCCTGCCTCTTTAAGGTTCCACCACCTCTTAACTTGACCACGTGGGGAAACAAACTTTTAGCACATGAATTTTTACAGGTCATACCATAGTTTATTATTTTATATTTAGGATTTTACTAGGTGATAAGGAGAGATTAAAAAGATCTCTGTACCACACAGTGTTCCTCTAGTGTCATCATGAGCAATTTAAAAGACACGGGCCTGAAGCTGAATCATATGCTCCAAATTTCTTTTATCTTATCCTTTTAAATTCCTATTGCATATTTCATAATGCAGATGATATATTAGTACAGTGGTCCTTGCTTATGATTGATGGCTGAATGTGCATATTATCTACGTCCCTCTGTATACTTTTTCCTCTCCTAAGGGCTCACGGTAATACTCTTTGGAGACCACCATGCTAGAGAGGGCAGAAGTTTTCAAATGGTTCTCAAGTAAGAGAAGAGTTAACACACTGATTTTCTTTTTTAAGAGACAGTGTTATTCAAAAATCAAGAAGTATTTTCATGAAACTAGCCATATTATAAGGTTCATGATTTCATCTTTTACGGGATGACTGCTGCTTTCCTAAGTTAACAGATCCAAACATTCTGGTTTTTGAGTGCTTTACCAAGTAAGATGGGAGAGGTGTTCATTTTTAAAATAGTTTCCTGTGGCTACTTTCACATTTTCAGATAAAAAAAAAATTTGGTCATTTGTGCACTTGTGAAACAATTACATGGTCCATTTGAATCAAGAAAGCTGTTTTGCTGAAAGCCCTTGATTCGTTTGGGTGTTTAGCTTTTTGCTACGCGTCTGTCCCTCTGCTTTGTCTAGACTTGGAGTGTCAAGTGTTGCTGGGCATGGTTTTGTCTGCTGAGAACATTCCCTGGAAACTCAGCTGACAGTTCAAACAGGAGGTTTTCATTTTTTTTGTGTTGGTTTCACATTTAACCCTTCAGTTGTAGGGCATGCCTGGTCTGATAATCCAAACTGTAGTCAAGTGGCTGTTTTTAATCCAAAGTGAATTAATCTCCACAGACAACTACGGCTGGCCTGCTCGGAGATTTCCAGAGGTGGCTAATTTAATTGCACCGTATGCACCATCCTGGTCACTAACCTTATCAGCCAATTACTAACCACCCACATATAATTTTTTAAATCTAATCCACTGGACTAAAAAAGTAGAATATGATACCTTAATTATTTTGCCTTTTCTTTATTTTCTCTTGGCTTCCTCTTTTTAAAATGAGGAAGCTAGAGAGTCTGTAAGGGCACTCTTGATTGTCTTCCCACCCCTAATCCATGCCATCATTCTTCTGCCTTCTCCTCTTTCATAGTGATTGATTGATTAGTTAATTAGTCACTTCATTTTCTCTGTCTCCAGACAAAATTCCACCTTTATCATCTTAGGTGCAGTTATCCATCTTCTTCCTTAAGGCACAGGATGAATCGCGGTGGCTTCCCTTTGGAGGGATATGCTGTGCTAAAGTAAGCAGACAAGTGAGATTTAGACCCCATTCAGTGCTTTCCAAAAGATAAGTTGTTTTGCCTGCTCACCCGTTTGGTTTCTGCTTTCCAGCCTAGAGCAATTGCTGTTACTCAGATGAAAGAACCCAAGCCCAGCAGTGGGTAGTGACTGGAGGGTCACCGGCCCTTTGCTTCAGAGCCCATAATAAAAACAGCCGCCAGACTCTGAGTCCAGTCCCCTCCATGCTTCGTCCTCGGATGAGACTGCACCTTGGCGTGACTTACCAACCATTCTTGGCCCTGTCCCAGACAAGCTCTGGTTTAAAAATGAATGACTGCTTAATGGACGTTTCCATTTCTCAGACTTAAGCTCTGCTTTTCTTCCCTCTGTTGGTAGAAGTCCGACGTCCAGGACAGTGTGTGCTACAAGACCCAGCTCTACCAGATAGAGAAGTGCAGGGGCCCCAAGGAGCCGTATGAGGTGAGTGGCCCAGAAGCAAGCCCAGACGTTCTGAGGAAGAGGGGAGGGTGGACAGGAAGCTGGTTACTGTGGGGACAAGAGGTACCAAGAGACGGACACCTTGTCACTGAGCCCTTGGGAATTCGTTTGCTGGAGCACCACGGCCCAGTCCCCGTGCTGCAGTCCTCCTTATGGCCACATGTCAGAATCACAGGGAGCATTTAAACATCCGGGTGCCCAGGCCCCGCTGCAGAGAATTATATCTAATCTTGGGTCGATATATTTTAAAGCTCCCTGAATGATTCCGATGAGCAGTCAAGGTTGGAAACCCTTGTCATCGATCCAAAAGGAAAAAACAAACAAACAAAAAGGTGCCCAAAATTCAGCTGGATGCCAGGAGAGAGCAAGATGAGGAGCAGGGAACGTTCCGGAGGACAGCAAGCTTGTCCCGTCAGCTCTGTGGTGCCTTGATGCCGTGTAGAACATACCTGAGGGGAAACACCAACGGTTAATTTCAGGGTAAAAATCAGTGTCCCACGGCAAAAGGTCACAACCTCAACCCCACACACACATTTGTAAGATTGGGCCTGGGGATCCCAGACCCAAGGCCAGGAGCATGGGCCTCCCTCTTGTCTCCGTCAAGTGGGCTCTTCTTTCTCAGTTTTTTCCCAGGGAACCCACTCGCACTCTCTCTCTCTCTGAAACCTCTGCCATGTCCCCTGTGTCCCCATCAGAGGAACCTGCCCTGGGACACTCAGGAATTCCCTCATGGGAGGAGACATCAAAAAGGGATCTTCCTTGCCCCGGCCACCTCCGTTCCTTTCTCTGTGTAAAGTTTTCCTGGTCCCCCGAGTCCCGCACACTGCCTGCGAAGGATTCTCTCTGGGGTTCACTGGGTCTAGCTGTGCCCGGGACGAGACGATCCTGTGTGAATTGGTGGGAGCTCGGGACAGGGCTCATCCCCAGGCGCCGGGCGAGGGGCGATAGCATGGCTGCCCTTCCTATAGAGAGTGAGGGGCAGAGGGAAGGGGCAAAGACAGTAACAAGGAACGGCCAGGGAGGAGAGGCAGGGGGGACCCATGCCAGAGAGACCGTGGCATGCAGACCTGAGCAGAGCTGGCCGGGCAGTTAACGTCCTAGGGTGTTGGGATGGCCCGCCCTGTGGAAGTGGAGGAGGAGGAGAGTGATGGCGTGGGTTAGGGGTGGAAGGACTTGCAGGGCCGGAGGCGGAGCTGGGGCAAGCCTTTTCCCTGGGCTGATGCCTCTTCATCTGAGACCAGCTGTGGGGCACAGGACAACGTGGTGGAGAGGAGCTTTTGGAGGGTGGGTCCTGCCTGGCAGGGGCTGAGCCACCAGCTCCCACGTGGCGGTCGGGCGGAAAGCAGGCGAGCAGGGACGTGTGGGGACCCGAACCCAGCCCCCTGGCCAGTTCCTACCACATGTGACCTCTCTTGCCTGAGTGAAGATGTCTCAAATCTAGCGTGCCCAGAAGCAAGCTGTCCTCCCACGCGTCCTCACGGCCGCCCTGTCCTCCCCAGGGACACGGGGCAGAAACCTGAGAGTCCTTCTTGAAGCTTTCTCTTCTTTTCCTTATCTCCAGAGCTAGCCCCTCGGCTGACTGGGCTCCTAAGTCTCTCCTCTGCTTACTTGTCCCTGTCCCCCGCCTGGTCCCAGCTCTGCCCTGCCCCGCTGCAGTCTCCTCCCTTGTTCCCTGGGTTCCCCGATGGCTGCCCCCCACCCTCTTACCCACACAGCAGCCAGAGAGAGCTTTCACCCTCTGCTGGCATCATGTCAATCATGTCACCCCCTGCTTGAAGCCCGAGGGAGGTCCTTCTCCTTCTCCCTTGCTGGGGCCATCTGTGTGGGTCAGCTTCTGCCTGATGTCCCAGCCCCATGTCCTGCGCGTGCCCAGCCCTGCTGCTTGCTCTGTGCCTGCCGCCCTGGCCCTTCAGGCTTGCTGTGCCTCCTCTGCCCGCCAGGGTTGTGCACATACTGTTCCCTTCTTCCGGAAGTTTCTCCCCACCCCTCTTTCCCAGCCAGCGTCCATGTATCCTCAGACCCCAACATGAGTTCAGCTCCCCACGGACCCCTGCCTTCCCCAGATCTCTGTCCACACTCCTCGGCTGCTGTCACTCCACATTCTGCATTTGGCTGTTCACATGAGCAGTTTTTCATTTGTTTGGGGATTATTTGGTCAATGTCTCTGTCCCACACTGGACTGAGTTCCATAAAACAAGGATCAGGTCAGTATCTCTGGCATCTACATGATGCCTGGCATCTAGTAGGTGCTCAATAAATACTTGATAAATGAATAGATCAGAGAATCCAGTGAGCCTTGCCCCAAGTCTTGGGAAATGGATAGGACTGGGGAAGCAGCTGGAGAAGGTGGAAGGTTTCAGGTGGGACACCCCGGGGATTAAAGTGAGGGGGAAGGTGTGGCCCATGAGGCATTATCACCACCAGATGGCCATGTCTTGAGGCAGGGTGGGGCCTCTCCTGGTCGCCCTCACTGAGCGTGGCACTCAAGCTGGAGTCCGGGGGATGCACAATTAACTGGTAAGCTTCCCTGCCTGTTGGTTTGTGTTTACTTCAAATAATAATGCAAACTTAGCTGCAGCAAGTGCCCAATCTACATGTCCTGAGCAGCCCCGAGTCTCCTTGCTGACGCCCTTGCGATCCTCAGCTCCAGCGTTTCTCTGAAAGTGCCAGAATCCTGATGGGAAATGGCCCCTTCTTTCATTCAGATCCATTTTCTCTGGTGATTAGTTCACTTGGCCCAGAGACACATGCTGAACGTTTTAAACATTTGTTGAAATATTGAACGGTTAGGATTTAAATAGGAACACTAATGGGCAAACGGCATTTCAATTTTCTATGATCCATTTGTTTTCTCCAAACGGCAGCGATACTTCTGCTAATTAGATTACAGGCTATTACTAGATGGCACAACTTGTCTCGGTTGGAGCCTAGAAAGTGGAATGGGGCTTGTTAGAAAAAGCGTTCAGAAGGTCTGAGAGGACCCAGCCTTCCCGGTAAAGCCACCAGTTAGTTGCCATTGGCTGGCCCAGGAGGAGAGGTGACCCTGCATGGGCAGGGGGCAGGGCAGGGGGACAGGGAGCGTGGTGGACTGAAGTTGCAGGTCGTGTGCAGGTGACTGGGGTGTGACTCAGGGTCCATGTCCCCCAAGGATGTCATCAGGCTCTGTCCCTGAGTACAAGAATGGCCTCTTCTTTCCTATTCATTCCAGTTCTTTTTCTCCTAGGAGACAAATGAGCTGAATTGAATTTAAAAAAACTTCCCCCTTGGGATTCCAATGCTGTGATGTGAAGACTTACCCTTCTATTTCTTCTTGTGGAAGGCAGAGATTGTATTTGTAAAAGTGGGACACGTATTTCACCTGAAAACACCTGTGTGTGTGTGTGTGTGTGTGTGTGTGTGTGCCTGAGGGACCCTCTTCCTCAAAAGGGGGCTGTGCAGGACAGAACTTAGGTTGAGGAGGGGCTGAAGGCAGCATTTTTTTTTTTAACTGGCTGTTAAAGCTGTGTGGAGCCCAAAGTCAGTCTTGTTTTTTTTTTTTTTTTTAAAAAGTAGTGTTGCTTTATAGAAAACGTGAAACAGAAGTAGGAGGTCTTCTCTACCATGCGACACTGGGGTTTTGGAAGAAAAATTGTGCAGGAGGGAGGGGAAGGGCTTATTGTGATCCAGCTGCTGTGACAAATACCTCCACTGGGCCGAAATGTATTGCCTCTCGTTCTAGAGGCTGGGAGGCCAAGATCAAGGTGTGGGTTGGGTTGGTTCCTCCTGAGGGCTGCAAGGGGGAATCTGCTCTGGGCCTCTCTCCCTCCGTCAAGCTCCAAGACCTGCTGGCCATCTTGGGCATTCCTTGGATCGTACATGGCCACTATGGTCTCTCCCATGGGGTCCTCCCCTTCTTATGAGGACCCCACTCAGATGGCATCAGGGTCCACCCTAATAACCCCATTTTAACTTGATTATCTCTATAAAAGTCCTACGTCCAAATAAGACCAAATTCTGGGATCCTGGGGGTGAGAACTTGAACATGTAAATTTTGAGAGAGTGTAATTGAACTCTCAACATGCACTCTAAGTTTAAAGGTAAATAATTAAACGTTCACTTCGTGTTCACTTCAAGTCTATATAACTTCTTAAAGTAAAGTTCGGAACCAGGTCAAACAAGCTGCGCTGTTGGAGCTCAGGTTGGTAATTCCTTCTGGGGACAGAGAGGCTGGGAGAAGACATGGGGAGACCCTCCCAGCTGCTGGCTGGGTTCTGGTTCTCGACCTGGCCACCATTCCCGGGGAGTATTTTTTCTGTTTCAGAAACGAGCTGCTTACCTCTTTTCAGAGCCCTCTTGTTCTTAGTCTCAGCTTTTAATAAAAAGTTTACCTCACTGTACTGTCATGTGTAACTCATAAAGAAAAAATTTTTAAAAAGAAAGAAACGTGACTAACATTATACAGATGAAATATGACAGGGCTAAGATTCAAACCCGAGCTGTTTGACAATTTCTAAATTTAATAAAAATTATATTAAAAAATGTAAAAAGAAAAAAAAAAGTTTACCTAAACAATTTTTCCAGCACGTGAATGAGGACATCTGCTGCCTACTGCCATTATGACTTAGAGATTTAAATTTTTTTTTCTATAAACGTTGAAATGAATAATATTCAATCAGAGCTATAGGGGAAGTTGTAGGGGGGAGGGTTTAGGGAATAAATAGCAGTTACAGCTGCTTCAATTCCTGAAAAATGCTGCTCTTTACAGGCCTCCCTGGACACCTGGACAAGAGACCTTGAATTGCATACTGTGCAGGTAAGAGCATGGTGGATTCTGAGTAATTAGTCAAGCTCCCCTGAGAGGCAGACATATCTTTCTCTCTCTCTCTCTCTCTCTCTCTCTCTCTCTCTCTCTCTCTCTCTCACACACACACACACACACACAGAGATAGAGATAGAGATGGAGGGAGAGAGAGAGGGAGGGAGGGGGAGAGAGAGAGAAATTGAGATGTATTTTAAAGAATTGGTTCATGTGATTCTGGCCTGGCCAGTTTGATATCTGCAGAGCAGGTCAACAGGCCTGAGACCTAGGAGAGTTGGTGCTGAGTTTCAAGTCCAAAGGCATCTAGAAACAGAATTTCTTTTTCCAGAAGATCTCTTTTTTTTTTTTTTCTTAAGACCTTCAATTGATTGGATGAGACCCACCCACATTATGGAGGGTGATCTCTTTGCTTAATATCTGCTGATTCAAGTGTTAACACATCTTAAAGCTGCCTTTGCAGGAACATCTAGTCTGGTGTTTGACTGAATAGCTGGGTACCAAACTTGACTTAGCCAAATTAACACATGAAATTAACCATCACATAAGGGTCCCTACCAATTGCTCAGTCTCTGCCCAGGGCAGCAGACACTCTGCATGCCTGTCCTTATCCAGGATTAACCTGTTGTGGGTGGGTTTATCTGAGTCCCCTCAGATTAGATCGGTGCTTTCTATGCTGAGCTGAGATAGTTTCATTGTCTTGCATGACCACACACCCAGCTGTTCATGCCTGTTTACTGTATATGGAGTGGGGTTTGTTAAATTAGGCTCCGTGGCCTAATTTATATCCAAAGTCCCTTTTATGAATTCACTCTTGCTTTTTTTTCCCTGTGGCAAAACCATGCTTTCCATTACGTGATGGGCAGCAAGGAACCAAAACCAACCAGCCGATGCCACGTGGGCCCTGGGCCATCCCAGGTGGTAGTGGTCACATCTGGTTCTGTTGCTCCAACAGCTGGTTGAGGCTGCCCGTCAGAAAGCTCCAGAAAAGCCCCTGGTGAGCTGGACCTTATAGTCACTCAGGAAGGCAGCTTTGGCCGCCTTCAGCCCACAGGGCGCTGCTGCCAGAAGCGCTGTCGTAGCCTGTTTTCAGTTTCCCAGGCAGCAGCTCCTCCCCAGCCTGGGGTGACGGGAGGCTCCGAGCATCCATCCGTCTTAAGTCGGTGCCTTTGCTGTTCAGACAGTGAAGCAGGTGTCGCGGGGATTCTTGCTTATTCTCACCGAGCAGGGCAGGACCAATTTTCTGTTGCAGACCGGGAAACACTTCCCTGAAGGTGAAGTGACTTGCCCCAGGGTCACCCAGCAAATTATAGAGAAGACCAGGGATAGGTTCTAGATTCCAGACCTCCCAGCTGCCGCCATGGCTGGGATCCTGGGAGTTTCAGGAGCCTAGAGTCATTACAAAATGGCTGCATGCCCCCAGTGGCACTGCTGTAGGGGAAGAGTCCAAGGGGGCCACCTCTCTGGAGCTCAGACCTCAGAGGCGGAGGACTGGGCCTCCTCCTCTCACTGGCTGCAGGTCTTCCTCTAGAAGCCCAGGGGACCATCACCCCCATTTCCTTTCCCCCATGAAATAATACAAGACACTAAAAGAGTCAGGGACAGATAATCCTTTATGGGCCCATATTTCCCAATCATTCAGTTTCGTAGCTGTCCATGCACATTTCTAGAGGGTGCAAACAGTTTCTAGAAAGTGAGAAGCTGTATTGTGTGTGGCTCGCATCTGGGGCTTCTCTGATCTGCCATGGGGGTGCAAAGAAGATGTTCTCAGAGCCAAGAGCTTGAAGCCCTTTGCCGGCCCCCAGGCCCTCGTGGGTGCTGGGGAGCAAGTCCAGGGAGAATGGAGGGAAGCCAGGTCACCACAGGCTGTAGCACTGCTGGGTAGGGAGCATGCATGTGAAAGGGGGAGTGTAATTAGTCCCTCTGAAGATCTTTTCCTGTTACATAAGGCAGTTTAGCATCCTGCTCCCTAGGAAGTTTCTTCTGGAGAAAGTAGGCCATGCAGATGCAAAGGTATAATTGGGCGCTCGTTGCATTTGGTAACCTGCTCGGAGGGCAGTGGGCTCAGCTGGTTGTAAACAAACACGTTGACTCTGGGCAGTTGACCCTTCTGCATGGGCTGATGCAGGGTTTGTCCCCCTCGGGGAGTGGTCAGCAGTGAATTCTTCTTCACTTTTCCTAGAAACCAGTTACTATGAAACCACTGATTTTGTTTAGCCTGGGGAAGGATGTTCTGGGGGGTGGGAGAGGAAATGCCAGGGTGCAGGATCCTGGGGTCAAGTGCAGCAAGAGTGGCCTTAGCCGGGTTTCCCAGAGTTTTCTGTCGGGCAGTGCAGTTGCCCTTCCTTCTGCTGCTGTAGAGGTCTTTCTGCTTGTGGTCACACATCCCTTGGTTACAGGAGAATTTTGGTCTCCCAGGCCAACCTTGGTCTCCTTCCAGAGCAAACTCTCACGCCTTGGATGCCTCTCGGTGCTACTGAACTCGATCCGGATGGCGATGCTGACCCCATAAATGTTTTCATTGAGCTTTAAGCTTTTGAGACCCCAGGAGGGTCGGAAATGAGCTGAACTGGACCCTTGTCACTGCCAGCAGCTCTCTAGTCATGGGGACACAGAACAGCTTGAGGGAGGCTTTGCTGATCATTTTAAAAAACAGTCCCCAAAAGGGTGAATGTAGTTTGATCTTTTCTATCAAGTATTGTTTCAAAAACATATCACAAAAGTACATTTGGGGTTTTTTCCTTCTTAAAGTAGAAATGGTGAGTTTCATATAAAAACAGAGAGAACAGAGCAAAAGGAAGAAGTTCTGCCCGACTTTTCAGGTCGGACCAGTCATGTCCCCTTGGATCCTGGGTAGGGATGTGTGTGTGAAAGGTTGTTCTCCTCTGCCTTAGAGGAGGCCTGTTCTTGTTTCATGGAAACAAAGGAGCAGAAAACAATTAAAAATTGCGATTGTCCTCTGCTGGCCTTGACCAGGGTGACCTGGAGCACATGGTCCCCTTGGTAGCTTCCCCCGTATCTTAATCCATTTTCTGCTGCTATGACAGAACACCAGAGACTTGGTCGTTGTTAAAGAACAGAGATGTATTCCTTACATTTCTGGAGGTTGGGACGTCTCAGAGCTTGGTCCAGCATCTGGTGAGGGCCTCTGCGCCACACTGTGCCGCGTGGAGGGCGTCAGGTGGTTAGGAAGTGTTTCCAAGAGACAGGGGAAAACAGCTGAATGCACTCATCCTTCATTAGGAGCCCACTCCTGCAACAGAAAACTACGCCACTCCTGTGATAACTAACCCACTCGCAGGTTAACTAACCTGCTGCAGCCATAATTAACCCACTCCTGCAGTCACGACCGTGATCCAGGCAGGAGGATAGTGCCTCTGACCGGATCACCTTTTAAAGGTCCCACCTCTTAATACTGAGACAGTGGCAATTAAATTTGAGCATGGGTATGGAGGGGACATTCAAACCATAGCACCAGATGGAGACCCAGAGCATATGCCTCTCCCAGGCATGCGTGTGGCTCTCGGGAGCCGGCTGCCTGCCTCTGGGCACCGCTGCATGCGGCTTTCTCTGCACCCCTGGCATCGCCCAACCCACCCCAGGACTTGCAGGCTGTGTGGAGTGAGGCCATCACAGCGCCCACTTCAGGGTTTTGGCAATCTCCGTGTTCAGCCTGCTCTTGGTGAATTATTTAGCCACCCAGGCCATTTCCTTGTTTCTAAAGGGGCTAACAGTCTGCTCATTGCAGGTCACGCTTGGTGCAGCACACGGCTGTGTGTGTCCCCGTCCAAGGCCGGTGGTGACAGTTATGGTGCTGAGGAAGTTTCACCTCTCCTTTGGTCCCACCTTGCCCCTCCATCGGGGACAAGCCACTTTGGCTAAGGGTTAGATCCTTAGGGATCTCCTGTCCCTCCAAGGGGCTCTGAAGGTTCCACGTCCCCACTTCCCTTTGTCCCCTGTTGTTCTTTCCCACGAAAAACTCGCCTGCTCTGCAAAGGCGCTAAAAGTCCTTATTGGAAAGGCACTTTTATAAAAGCGCAGAAGTTTCCTTGAGAAGCTTTTCAGTAACAGAAATGAAAAATAGATGAGCTCTCTTGAATTGCAAATGCTCTTGAAGTTGGAGGCAAAAACGTGGCAATATGTCTTTTTCCCTCACCCGGGGCGAGGTCAGGGATGCCACTGTGTGTTTAACAGTAAACATCAAGCTTCTTCTTAGTGGCATCATCCTTCCCAGAAACTTGAACTTGATTAATTTTAATCAGCTCAGCCTCTGCTGACCTTTTTCAAAAAAATTTCAATAACTATTTATTATGCTTTCTCTAAGTGCCTAGTTTTATGGCCGCGGCTGTGGAGCTAAAGATACATCAAATAGTCAAATTCTCTCCCATCGGAAGGATGATAATCTAGTTGCATATGGGTAAAATGTAGAGCACATGGTGATGCACATGCAAGCTTTAGATTCTCAAGTAAGTGCTCACATGCTTGAGGGCGCAAAGGGCCGGAGTCCCCCACCCCAGGACCCCATGGGGCTGCATAGTTGCCCCGTTGTCCTGAGTGCCTCCTTGGCTTGACTGTACAAACAGGACCTGGCATTAAGATGGAAGCAGCTGTACCTCAACCTGCAAAGCTGCCCCTGTGTGCAGAATCCCAGGGCGCCACTTTAAATGCAGATGGGAGGTTCCCACAAGTCCTGACCTGCTTCGCTCTGGCTCCTTCAGCTTGTGCCAGGATAACAGGCCTCCTCACCCTCGCTGGGACACCTCGAAATGTCACAGTGCCAGGGAGCTGGAGACAGGCGAGGGCCCTTGTTGCCCAGGCAGAGGGACGCAGGCCCCGGTATTGGCTGGTCCTGGGCCTCAGTCCTTCCCTCATTCAACATGCCCTTGAGAGCACACAGCGGGAAGAGCGGAGATTCTCCAGTCTCCTTGGTTGGTTTTCCAAAGAGGAATCCCATTGTGTGTCTGAGCATGTATGTCTGCTTCTGATTTGAAGGACAAAAAGCCCAAAGAACAAGAAAAACGAGGGGATCTTCTTCACCGGCCATTTGCCAAGAAGATGGACAAGAACCCGCCCTCGTACAGACAGCCTTCCGCCTCGCTCGTCACGCAGATCCAGAACACCAAGGCACTGCTCAAGGACCGCAAGGCTTCCAAGTCTGGCTTCCCCGACAAAGGTAGCTCAGCTGGGGCCCCTCTCGGCACTCATGTGGAGCTGTGAGTCCCCTGTGCTCCCCTCACGGGTGGCGGTGCAGGCCCAGGACAGAGATGATTATTGTGCCCTTGGGAAAGCAGCTGTCCCATGTTTGAGGCAACGGGAGAACAGTCGAGGGCCAAGCCACGGGGGATTAGCCACCCGTACAGGAAGGATTGAGAAAACAGGGTTCGGGCCAATATAGAAACAGAGATTGGGGCAAATGGTATTGCAGGAGCAGAGGCTGGGGTATGGTATTGTGGGAGCAGGTGTTGGAGGGTGTGGTACCGTGGGCACAGAGAGTGGGGCACATGGGGCTACAGGAGCAGAGATTAGGGTCAAGGTATTCTAGGAGTGGAGATTGGGATGTATGGTTCTGTGGGATGAGAGGTGAGGCTATAAGGTCTCACGGAGTAGAGAATGGGGTGTAGGAACAGGTATGCTGGTCAGAAGTGGGGCTGTGGAGAACACATGGTGTCCGGAGCCAGGGATGGTGCATAGTATTGCAGAAGAGACTGGGCTGCGGGAGCAGAGATCAGGGTGCAAGAACAGAGATGGAGCAGAGAGTGGCGGGCGGAAGCCTAGACTGGGACATGGTTTTGTTGGAACCTTTATCAGAAAAGTGGCCCCAGGGAGGCATGGCAGTGTGACTGAGTCTGGGCTACTGGTAGAGGTAGGATGCTCAGACCTGAGTTCAAAGCCCAGCTCTGCTGCTCACAGACCCTGGGTCCTCACTGGTGTCCTTCCCTGTAACAGCTCCCATCTGTTAGAGCTACCAGGTAGATAAAGTGAGATACACATGTAGGCCTCTGCTTGGTTTGGAATCCAGCCCATTGCAGATAAATAATAAATGTGGGTCTGCAACCTTTAGATGGGCGTGGGAGGAAGTAGGAGAGCTCACCAGGTGTGGGCTTGACACACTGGGAGATGCTAAGAGCAGGGACACAGGAGCCAGGGGCCTCCTGACTCACAGCCATGAGGGGAAGGAGAGATTTCTGTTACCAAGAGGATATAGAGGTCACACTCTCTAATCCTTTTGTTTCAAATGTGAAGAAACCAAAATTCAGCGAGGGCCATAGCCAGCTGAGGTCAACTGAGGCTTGCTGGGCAGTAGTGGGACTCATGGATGACCGCAGCCACTGTCCTGGCCCCGCCAAAGCCGCCTGCCTTCTTGGTGCAGAGCAGCAACACTCCTTGCAGGGAGACCGTGTTCTCGGGCCAGCTGGTAGCACTGGAGGCCTCCGTGATGAACAAAACCCGACTCCTTCCTGCTGATGGGCCTCAGGGCCGTGTGCATCTAGGAGGAGATTTATTTTGGTGTCTGTGGGTTTATTTGTGGGAGGCAAGGAGGAATACAGTGCCCTCCGCTGCTCCCCACATCTCTCCCCATGGGCAGCAGCTGGCACCTGCAGCTAGGCCTCCGCAGAGCCTGCAGATGGTTACGTAGAAGAAAGACGCTACCACGGAGCAGGAACTTGGCTTCATTTCTCTCGGTTCCCTCTCTTCTCTGGCATAGTCTGTGCCGACTTGAGATGGAAAATGCGGGGACTGGCTGGTGGATGGACTACCCCGTTCAGAATGGGCTGAGGCTTCGTGGGGATCAGAGTCATGAGGGAGCCATGAAGGAGGGAAGTCCTGACACATGCTGCAGCGTGGGTGGCCCCTGAGGACATGAGGCTAAGTGGAGTGAGCCAGTCACAGAAGAACAGATGCTCCGCACAGGAGATTCCTCAAGTGGTCAGGTGTGCAGAGGCAGATGGTAGAATGGTTACCAGGGGTGGAGGAGAGAACGAGGAGTCCCCGTTCACCCTGGGCACAGAGGATTAGATCTGCAAGGTGAAAATGGCTCATGGGGATTGGTGGCACAACAATGCGAGTGTCCTTAATGTTACTGAACTGTATCTAAAAGGTGATTGAGATGATACATTTTCTGCTGTATATTTTTTACCATGATAAATTTTCTAAAAATATACACGGGGAAATAGTCTTTCCCATGTCAGTGTCTGAGGACCAGGTTTGTGGTGCTCAGTGAGCCATGCTTCCTGCATTTCCACAAGTTCCAGGCTTGTCCTGTCAGCTGGTGCACCTTTTTAATTCAGAAGTCCTTTGACAGGGTCTAGAATTTTAAGCCACCAAAAGGGGAGCAAGATGTTAAGCTGGGGCCTCCGTCACCAGCCTTCTGTTTCCTGCATCCTAGAAGGACTGTCACGGCCTCTGTGGGACAATCAGATGCCGTGGCTGAGTCCTTTGCTTCCTCTTCCTCCTGCCCCCCACGTGCTCAGCATCTCAGCCAGACTGGGGGGCAGTGCAGGCGGCAGAGGGGCCACGTCCTCGTCTCTGTGGCTGTCTTAATGGTTTTGTTTTCTGGGTGTGCAGATTCCTTCGGCTGTCGAAACATTTTCCGCAAAACCACTGATTCCAATTGTGTGGCTTCTTCCTCCATGGAGTTCATCCCCATCCCACCCCCCAGAACCCCCAGGATTTTAAAGAAGCCGGAGCCCCATCAGCAAGGGCCTGGGAGCGCCAGCATCCCGCCAAAGGAAGATCCCCTGATGCTGGACATGGTGCGCTCCTTCGAGTCTGTGGACCATGACGACCACATAGAACTGCTGTCCCCTTCCCATCACTATAGGATTCTGAACTCACCTGTGAGCCTGGCTCGCAGGAATTCCAGTGAGAGGACTCTGTCCCCAGGGCTGCTGTCTGCAAGCACGTCACCTCTGCAGACTCCTTTGCATCACACTCTGGTCTCCTTTGCTCATGAAGATAAGAACAGCCCACCCAAGGAGGAGGGCGTGTATTCCCCACCTCCAGTTCCCAGCAACGGTCACACTCAGCCTCTGGGGAGCCCCAACTGTGTGAAGAGCCGGGGCAGGTTCCCCATGATGGGCATTGGACAGATGCTGAGGAAGCGGCACCAGAGCCTGCAGCCTTGTGCAGAGAGGCCCCTGGAGGCCAGCATGCCCCCGCTGCAGCCCACAGCCCCCGCAAGTCTTTCTTTTGACATGGCTGACGGGGTCAAGGGCCAGTGTTAACCTGGGTCCGTGAGATTCTGAGCCTCTGTAAGGAAAGCAATGGAACAGGGCTCCACACGTCTGCCAGGACGTGAACCAAGACCTCGCAGAAGCGTCCTCCACGGCCTCATCCACTCTGCCCTGCAGTATCTCACCTGTGGATCAGCCGAAATCCACAGACCCAAAGCCTGCACCACCCAGCCTTGCTTAGGGACCCCCGAGGTGCGAGAAATCACTAGGAGGGTCAGCTACAGAGGCAGCCCATTCCAATTCCAGTCTCAGACCCTCCTTCCTCCCGCCCACTCACCAAGCCTCCTCCGTGTACCCCTGCTGGACTCGGGGCCGAAAACCACACTCTGACCTTCTGGGCCACTCAGATCTATAGACTGTTACCAGATCTTTCTTCACTCTGTGCTACATGCATGCCTCCCAGTGGATTGCTCTCTGTTCAGCTGTGGGTCACAGTCTCACGGGGACCAGTAGTGTCACAAGGTCATTCATCCAGAACCTGTTCCTAGCATCCAATCCCTACAACCTAGCAGAAGCTGTGACCAGGAGCACCGGGCCCTAGGAACCCCAGAGGAAGACGGGGCAGAGCCTCAGATAAGGATGGAACCCAACAGTATGAACTCTAGAAGGAAAAGACTGACAGAAACACTCATTCCCAAGCAGAGTTTTTAGGCAGGTTTTAATTTTATTTGGTCAAAACTTTCTGATGGTTGAATGATCTTGTCCAAAGAGATTTTTCTTTATATCATGTTGATAAATCAATATTGCATAATTTTTAAAAGCCCAGATGGAGAGATGAAAAGCAGTTCCACCAAGTTAATGTCTTCATGAGAGGATTCAGCGTGGAGGGCTGGCTGGGGTGGTGTCTTTTGTGGTGTGGGACCGCGATGGCCTGCAAGAGGGGGCAGGACCCAGCCAGCCTGTCTTCATCCCATTGCATCCACAGAACCTTGATCCTTCCGGAAGGCGTAGAACACGGTGACAGTTGGTTCTTTAGAGACAGAGAAAGGATGTGGTGGCAGAATTCAACAAGAAGGTAGCAGTTTTTAGGTTGCCCAGAAAACTTGTGCGGGTTAGAGCTGAGCTGGTTAGCTGTGAGCCGTGAAGAGCCTTTCAGGAGCCCGCTCAGACACAGGACAGCTTCTTCCTTGAGGGAAGCAGCATCCTTCCAACAGGGTTTCAGTTCGTGTTGTGTTTTCACACCTTTTGCCAAGGATCAAACCAAAGACGCGTTTCCCGTCTCGTGACTGTGCCGTCCCTGTGTGTGTGCATTTTGTGGCCCCCCCAGTGTTGTCTGACCATGTCCAGCTGGAGCCTGACGGAGGCTGTCTCCACGTGGGAACTGGGTCCTGGCACTCGGCAGGGGACTCAGTCGTGAGCAGAATTGCAAGGGAAAGTCAGCCCAGGCTGAATATCAGTTAGTTTAGGAGACAGGGTTACAGAACAGCCTAGAGTCTCTGACTTTCGACTAGTGCGAAAAGTGACCATCCACCACTGCTTGGCCACCTCCTGGTAGTCATCTCAGCCCATTGATTCCAGTGATTCCAAAATAGGCCCGTCCCTTGAGAGTCGCAAAGCCAGCCTTCATTTTCCTGCAGCTAACCCTGAGCCAGAGAGTGGTGAGATTGACCTTTACCATTTTCTCGTTTCCTGGTGGAGACTTCCTCTGGCCCCTCATGACTCTTACTGAGCAAGGAGAAAACAGACATTGGCTGTTGCTGGAAGCCACTGAGATGCCCCAGTCTGGGCAGACCTAGGCAAGACCCAGGGCTGCCTAATCCCTCTCGAGGGGCTCCCTCCAGCTCTAGGGCATGTTAGGAAGAGGTCAGGATCCTGGCTGCTGGTGTTATTCCTTTATGTGCTTCAGACTGGGTTCCAAACTTCACATTGAAAATAGAACTTTATAAGTGGAGAGAAGAAAAGAATCATCTGGCAGAACCTCCAGCCATCTGACATGAAAAGTGGACTTTCTGGTGGTGAAGGACCCTTTTTTAAAGATGGCTTCCAGTTGCAAGCGCTTTGCTCTGCAAGATGGCAGACACCGACCTGTGTGTTGTGAACTTGTTGTAGCCCCTGTGTCTCTTTCTTGCATTTTACTTTCCTCGCACGTGTGTGTGCTTTTGTGTCGTTGTTAGTGTGTGAGAAACATGTTTCCCCTTCTTCTCACACTTCAAGAAAGGCCGCAGATGTCTACCGCTAGCTGAATCGCGTTGCCGCTGGTAACTTGGACTCTGAACTCAGGTTTACTCTGAACCCAGTGAGAGGAAAGGGAATAGCTGTATTTTTTGGTGTGTGTGTGAGCACCCGGCAAATCTATGAAACCAAGTGAAAGAAGAAATGTTAAATTCTTTATTATATTATTATATTTATATGGAAAACTTGACTATCCCTTTGGTAAGTACAAAGTGTGTTGTCTGTTTGACCCATGACTGTCCCCCCTCAGTCTGTGCCTGTGATTTCAGTAGCTACTGATGGGAATGACTGAACTGTCAACTGGTCACAAAGTCTTGGAGGAAAAGTCCATTGTAATTGTATGATTTGGTCATAAGTAAGTTTATGTCACCACTGTTAAATATATGTACTTTTATAATGACTGTGAAATACACTTTTTCCTCACTATGACGGCTTCTTTATTTGCTCATACATCTTAAAATAAGAAGATTGTAAAGAACAGAATCATCCTGGGCATTTTCTAGTCCAGTGTTCCAGCCACATTTCACCTGCACCAGGTATGTCTACAAAAGCCTCTGTCACTGACACACTGCAGATGGCAGCTCAGGATGAATCAGCATTTTACAGTGTTGAGGGGTCAAGATTTCCCGTGGCACCTCAGAAAACAGCACTTGCAGAATGATGTCTGTGAACATTGCTTCTGGATATTGTCCTTCCTTCAGGCCTGGCTCAAGGTTGGGGTGGGGAATGATGGGAGGGGATTGAGGGGGTTCTAGATTAGCTGGGTGGATTGTCCCAATCGTTGCTTCATTCCTAACTGTGCACAAGACGTTTTTCACACGTACCAGCTTGCTTAAGCCTCGTACCCCTTTTACAGTGATGAAATGAGGCTTAGTGGAGAGGCCTCCATTTCTACCACACAAAGCTCACTCTGGATTTGACGCCGAGATAAAGGAACAGTATCTAATTTTGATATTTTCTTGTAAGAATCACAACATTTTAGAGCAGAAAGAAAACCTGAGAATCTCTGGTTCAATCACAGCCTTTTTTTTTTTTTTAATGAAGAGGAAGTGGGGGCCCCAGTAGTTTCAAGACACCCAGAGTTCCCAAGTGAGCTAGCATCAGAGCTGGTCTGGAACATATATTCTTCTCTCAAAGAACAGAGAAATTTATATGTGGCCACTATGTTTAGAGGGTAAAGTTGACAGCAGATGAAGCTGTCATTCCAACAGAATTTCTGAGGTTCTACAAGGATCCAGTCTTCATTTTTAAGTTATGTGCAAAATTGGGCAGCTTCTTGTGATTCTGCACAATTCGAGAATAGCTGTCCTAATTGTGCAGATTCTTGAACATCCCACTCTTTCCACCCTCCATCACCAGGTATCGAAGCTCTTACTGGACTCTTGTCTTCCTTGAGAGAGCTCCCAGGTAAGCAGCAGCCTCTTGATAGCTTGTTACTACTTTAGCCATTCTAAGTCTATTGGGTTTAACTGGGTGAAATCGATAAAACATCTCTTGCATACAGCCATATCACAAAGTTAGACAAATTCATAAAGGACGCAAGACTGATGTATTTTTTAGGGGGGTGGGTCTGGAAGTCTGTTATTTTGTTTGTTTTCTTTGTAGGATCCTCCGTGTGCCATAGGCACAGTAAGAATAATTCAGAGCAGTACTGGGAGCTGGTTCAATTTAATGTCATCACTTTTCAATGAAAGGAGCGTGTTTCCTGAGTAGTAAATGAGTGTATTATTTGTGGCAGCTTTTTTGTCAAGGGAGCTTTTCAGACATCTGGTTCCAAAGACAAATGGGGCACATATTTGTTCTTCTTTTCTGCGGATGTGTTTCCGCAACGCACGGTTATGCCTGGGATTTGCTGCCTGTGGGCATCCAGGAAGGGGGAGTTGGGGAGGTGGAGCAGAGGTCTTTGAGAGAAGATGAGGAGCATCTCAGGCTTTGCACCCCCCCACCAAGTATCCACATCTGAGCTGGTGTTCAGATAATAAGGCATTTGGGGACCCACATCTGGGGGCATAGAATAGCTTGATGTGGAGCAGCCTTGGGGATCAACTGGAGTGGACTGGTTTACGTTGACAGGATGGCACATTGTGGAAAGGACAATGCCAGGTAACTGTTACTTATTGGTGAAAAAATTAATAGCTCTGATTCAAGGGCCTCAGCTGCTTGCATTCCCTACTCAGAAAATGACCTGAAAGCTATTTTGAAAGCAAAGGCTTTAACTTATATATAAACTCTATATGGTGACAAAAATTCATTTTTTCCTAGACCTGTGGCCACAGTCAGGTGGAGAAGGATAGACTGCCGTCCTATCACCAGAACAAGGCTTCTTGTCTAAAACAGGTGACGGATTCGTGGCAGGTCTCCTTCCCGTGACCGTGACCCCTTCGTTTCTGTTCTCCCCTCTGGCAACCAGGCTTTTCTTAGGTAACATATTTAACCCCGAATCTCTGTGACCTTCCCAAGGAAGATTTATTTCCTACTGAAGTTTTTATGAGGCTCACTGACTCCAAAGCAGCCGTCTGTGGTGACTCAGGGATCCTGGCTGCTTCCAGCCACTTATAGCAAGAAAGGGAGAGCTGGGAGTTTCCCACCAGCCCTGAGTGCTCTGTGAGGGCCATATCACTTCCCCTCACAGCTCACTGGCTTCAACTAGTCTTACGGGCTAGGAAATGGGGAAAGCAAATGGCTATTTGGGATACAGATGATATTTCTGTCACTTTAGGGAAGGTACAAATACCTGCCGTGTATATGTGGCCACTATGTTTAGAGGGTAAAGTTGACATTTAAAGGTACCCTACAACTAGACTGGCCTTGCCCCATCG